ACCCAATAAGATATAGATATCACATACCAACCAGTAAGCCAGTCACTCCGAGAAGTTTCATCGTTGAAGAACAGAGAGGTTACGAAGAGATATCATTGTGTCATTCATAAAATTGTTTTCTTGAAATCTAGTATGTGTCTGATTCATGATGAGAGGGTTATATTGTGAAATAAAGAGGTACTAGAACTTTCAGATCCATTGGACCCCTAAATCCCATACCCTTCCCCTACCTCGATAGTATGTAACCAATGTCGTTAATTGGCCATTACAGTTCCATCATTTATGTATATGATGGGCTTGCTATGGAAAACTCAATGTGTCGATTATGTTGTATTGGCCTTTTGCCGGGGAACTGAATATGATTGCTGGGTACCCAGTACTGGGACCAGCTGCCGGCCGCAGTGTACTGATATATTATAGAGTCCCGCATATGGGACCATTTACTGGGCCGCTGATGTCAGGTATGGGAAAAATATATTAGGCCATTGTTTGTTGGGAACTTCCAATATTTTTGCTTTTTCAATTCAACCTGAAATGTTGACTCCTTATTCAACAAACAATAGTAGGCGAATCTGGATATTCCAGTTTCATATGTCCACATTTTCAAAGAAAGCTAATGTCTATATTATAGAAATTTTGTCATAGGAAAATCGGTCAACGGGTTCCAAATCAGGAAGATGTTGCTAGTTGAAATCGCATACACTGTATATTATAGTTACAGATTCATCCAGAGACAATGCTGACTGAAGTGACTCAGTATCCACCTTGTCTATTTTGAGTTGAATTTACATAAGTAGAAAGAAATTTATTCGAATAATCATTTCGACTCATATAAGAACGGCGAATAATTACTAACCTACATATACCTACCTGCATTGCATAACATTATAACAATATGAATATATTCGAAACTTCCAGAGAGATTTCCTAAGAAAACGATGAAAAAAATTACGGAAAGTTTGCACAGTCGTCTATGGTAAACTTTCAAGCAGCTCATTAACATTTTCTGCCATGCAGCAGTCTCCCTCGTCTTTCTCTTGTTATCGACTTCTCCGAGTTTCAACGAAAATTTCTATATACAGTGGCAGTAAAGTAAACAGAAATACAATCAACCTTTTTCGCGAGAAATTCAAATAAAACTACGAAACTTCTACGAAGCATACGTATGTTTGTATACGAATGTATATATGTTGTAGTTGTTATTTGAATAAAATTATACTGCCTCTCTAGGTTCATGTATAGAGGATTCATTGAAAATGGCTTCCTCTATAACTTTCTCTGAATAGATGACTTTTCTGGATACCAAGAGAGAGTTGAAAATAATAGATCATCCGCTATTTTATTCTGGATGAATATTTTTGTCTGAAATTCTGGTGTCGTATGCCATTGGTTCTCAAACTTAAGTTTTCGCGCTCCCCTCCCGAATCCGTAGATGAATTTCGTTGAAAGCCATTGCAGAAAATAATATCAATTTGTAGACTGGAGCTGAATTTCGAATCCATTGGAGAAAATAGACCTGTCGGACTATCACTATATACAAGAAAAAGAAGAACAACTCACGAGAGACAAACTTTTGTTAACATCCCTTTAACAAACTTCTGTACTGAGCATCCGAAAGACTACTCTGTTATTAAAGTCTAAGTCTCATCTTTGTGAAATTGGATTTTCTGCCCTTGATATCTATAAATACAGAAATAAACTTTAAGTAGAATGTTGAAGAATATTTGGTTATACTCTGTATATTCTGTATATAGTTATCACCATGTATAGTTGTTTAATTTGGGACAGTTAGTTGTCAATATTATTGAAAATAGAGTAAAAGTCAGTCAAAAGCAGAGTCGTTTTAATGCAAAAATCTGACTAATTATAAGCCACATCTGAGCCAAACTATTAGCCAAAACATAGAAAATTAAATCAGAGTAGAGTTGCCATCTCTGACATGGAACCAACTTTGGAGAAATTGTGCGCCTAAAAACAATCTCATGTATGCCAATAGTTCTTGGAATGTTCCTTTATCATTGTTCAATGAAATTTCCATATTGATTTCTTTGAAATCTATCTATAGCACTCTTTCATCATCATTTTATTCTCAATCAATTTTGTGCTTCCTCAATCATGATGTAAATGCGCCCTTCTTAGAGGGCGCACCCTCTAAAGTTTGAAAAACACTGAGTTGACAATTTGCACGTTGAAAAAATAGTGTGACTCAAGATAATATGATTTTCTGAATCAGAACCACCGTCGGAGAGCTAATTTCGAGATCTACACCTCTAGAGTATCGTGACATCTCTAGGTCCAATTGCTGCCGCCTAACAACGCTGGTAACGTTATTGCAATACAGGAGAAGAATAGCTGCTACTGCTGAGCAATAAAGTGACTTTCGGCGTTGTCACCAAAGTCTTCGCAGGATACGCCTCCTACTTTGACTTCGACTGAAGAAATTTCTATGGTGAATAATATAACAAGCCATAAAGCTACCTTATTGTTTAAAAACAATTTGTAATCCTTGGAGTTGTCACGTTTTTGCTTTTTCATCAGTAAATGAAATAATGAATTAAATGCAACGAACTTCTGAGTTGAAACGTTCACAATATGGAATATATTATTGCATGCGTTGCAGTCGATGAAATGAAGAAAAAAAAGGAGTTTTCCGAAACCTGCATGCAGAAAATTATAAAAAAAAATAACAACAAGGAGAAGGGAGCCCTCGAAAATATTCAGAAGAAAAACAACACTTAGAATGATACTTCCGAATGTATGTGATTTGAATATTTGCCTTTGCATGAAATATTATGCTTCAACTCGGTACCCACTTATGTTCAAATTCCAATTTTGGAAAATGTATTTCCTTTGAATTAAAATTTGGGAGAATGTTATTCTCCTCTTTAAAAAAATTCTCAAGAATGTGTTTTTTCAATTCCAATCATGCATGAAGAAAATAGACTATGTCAACTTTATGCGACTTGTCAGAGGAAGTTTTGCTATTCAGCTCTAAACTTGTCCTATGAAAATACTCCTTTTTTTCTTTTCGGAAAATTAAGGATATCAAAAAACCTACCGAAAGAGTGATGCTCAACAACCGGGCACAATTTGGGTTTTGCTAAAATGACAGTCACTCAGGGCACCTTGCCCCTCTCAAATAAGACTAATCATGAATTATTGAGCTTTTTGAAAATGAAAATAGATTTTTATAACTGCATTCAGTGCAATTATCAATCACTATGACAACACGATCGACTTTGACAACTTCAAATTATTTTCGGCCGATTATACCTCGGACAATTGACAAGCATCATAATTTTATTAAATATTTCTCAAGCGTAACAGCCCTTAGCATTCGGATTCGAGCTGTTACCAAGGAACGAGCTTCGATTGTCATAAAATTGTCTCGTCTATTATCAATGTACTAGGGATATAACTTCTGAAATCCATACCTACTTATAATATATGTGATATTTCAAAACATTGTCGAATATGATGAATCAAAACTGTAACAATTCTAAACTTTTTCTTGAAAAATTCGAAAAAAAAAATAACTGGAACAACTCGCATGTAAGCTTATGACACTTTGAACTAACAGGAAAGTTACTTTTGGCGGTGAATGAGGTACACCAGAAGAAAATTCACCACATCTAAGAACTGACAATTCTCCAATTCGATTTTCTCAAAACTAAAAATTTTTAATTATCATATTTACTATTGTTTTCAATATGCGAATTATTGGAAGACTTGTCAAATGAGGCATTACTCGACCCCCCACTCCATAATGGCGTCCAGGTGCTAATCAGAAAGATTCATATCTATATCGAAATCAAACTGTAGCCCTTGAAATTCCAGTGTGGTGAAAAAGAAAATTGTCAACAATCCAAGCAGTTCAAAAGTTATCTAGAGGGCCCAGCGAGCACAAACATCCCTGGGATGTTTTGGGATGTTTTGAAAATGTTGGCATGAAGATGTTATTTTGAGACGTAATATGCACTGACCAAAGAGGTCTTTGAAGGATATTGAAGTATTGTTTTTGTTCTTCTGTGGCATTTCTTTGTTTGCCTACTGAGAGGTATCCCTGGGATGTTTTGGGATGTTTTAGAAATGTAGGCATGAGGATGTTTTTTTGAGGCGTAATATGCACTTCCCAAAGAGGTCTTTGGAGGATATTGAAAGTATTGTTTTTGTTCTTTTGTGCCCTTTCTTTGTTTGCCCCACCACAACGTCTCAATACGATGAATTCTGATTTGTTTTCGATTTTGTTCTTCTTGTTCGCAATTGGCATTCGCGTTTGCAGCGTGTCACGCTTACATCACGCTGCTAACGAACAGAAAGGAATTTGGTGAAGTTTATTGTGTTAGAAGACTTATTTAGTTTGTAATAATGACCATCAGATGCAAGATGTGTTGTTCGGTGCCTCAGTGTAATCAATATATAAAAGTACGAATTCATCAATACACAGCTTCTCCGAAGTTGCAAAATTATGCATTGTGGAGAACATTTCAAAAATTGGGAAACCTATTTCCAATTATATGTCTATGTGTAGTAAGCACTACTCAGAAACCGATTAAGAAGATTATTTCATATCAAGAAAATATTTTTATGTTCAATCTATTTTAAATGCATTTTTTCATTCAAGGGAAATGGAATCCTAATGCAAAAGTTCATTTTGACAAAAGGCTTCAGAAAAGTATCTCGAAAATGTTTTTTTACAGTGATTTAATGTGCTCAAGACGCGTTGGGAATGTTCTGTTGTGTCCATGAAAAGGCTTTAAAAAGAACTAGGGAGAAGGTAGTTTTGTGACATATTAAGGACATCTCGATAATTGCCGCCTGCGGCGGACATTGGCTGTTCTATAATAGTTCTATTCATGTGTGAACAGAACATCGCAGTGGAGGTTCAATGTCTCGAAATCTCGTACTTTTAACATCTCTGAGATGTTTTTGTGCTCGCTGGGGGGTCACTTTATGGGTATACCAGTTTACAACTTGCAAGGTCCCATTGCCTAGGCAACTCAAACAAACATTTCACAGTTGATAGACGTTGCTTGTGTAGTCAAATATTGGGCATCATTATAATTATTATGTCTGATTCCCGTTTCATCCCTACAGAACCTGAGCAACCAAAGCCATTCCAACTGAACATAAATGATAGCAATGATCCCAGCTATAGCAGATTGACACTTCCATAGTGAGTACCTACTTATTCTTTGAAACCTATATTGTATGCATGGCGATTTCACCCTATTCAAAGTATAGTAGCATCCTTATTCGTTTGGTGTCAGGTCAGAAGCTGCCATGATAAAATAGATGGGTCAGAGATGGGTCATAATTTCTGAAAATATAACACCCCAATATAACATTCAGGGCACTCGCTAAGCTCATATTGACTGCTGGTAGTAAACGCAGGAACACGCCAACATTGTAACAGGGGCTTCATTCCGAATCCGACTGAGGTCATCAGTAATACATCTGCTGATTTTACATTCCGAAATCAACAAAATTTCCTGAAAGTGACAAATCTCGAAAGTGAACATGTTGATCATTCAGAATAACTAGCTGAGTGAAAATTTGATATTTTTTTTATATACCTTCATTCCTCTCGGCTCAAGTTTCGTTTAGCTGAAATCAGTTGTGGAAAAACTGTTGCAATGGCAACGGTCGTCATGATAACGAGTAAACAAAAACCCGATTCCCGTGGTGAGGAAATGCGTGGTTGCCAAATTGTATCGGGTTTAGTATAGCTGAAATCGGTTATGGAAAAACTGTTGCCATGGCAACGATCGTCATGGTAAGGAGTAAACAAAACCCCGATTCCCGTGGTGAGGAAATGCGTGGTTGACAAGTTGTATAGGGTTTAGTTTGGCTGAAATCAGTTATGGAAAAACTATTGCCATGGCAACGATCGTCATGGTAACGAGTAAACAAAAATCATATATCCGTGGTGAGAAAATGCGTGGTTGCCAAGTTGTATCGGAGAATTATTGTTTCATTCATTAATTTCAAAAACACTCTTCAATGTAACCATCCTTCGCGTGCCGGAGCTATTCGACAAAATGAAAAAGAAACAGAGACATTTTGGAATTAATATTCTTTACGAGGTATCGCGCAGGATATAGGAAGAGAGACCACAGCTACTGATTGTCTAATACAGATGGAAACATCTCGTTAGGCCCACCCACATTTCCATTTGCCTTCATTCCGATTCACCCATACCTTTCTTCACGCGCACATTTCGATTCAGCAACAGTCTTCAAACATACACGAACGGTGCCATGCTACCAAATCTGAACGATGTTGGAAATTATATGTTTTTCAAGAAGAAGGTTGATTTAAGTCGAGTTAGGTTAGTTTGTTTGGAAAAAGTAGTGTCCTTTTTTATGCAGTCTTCAAACACACACGAACGATGCCTTGGTACCAAATCTGATCGATGTTGAAAAATATATTATTTCTAAGAAGGTTCATTTAAGCCGAGTTAGGTTAGATTGTTTAGAAAAAAAAAGTATCCTTCCTTATGCGCTATTTCGTCTAGCTCTGTCACAAGAGTGTCAGTTCAAAATGTCTTCGTTCGGCGAACTTTCTCTTCCGAGATATCAGAAAGAGTTATGAATTTGCTCTGAGTCAAGGTTTGGTGCCAGCAAAACTTTATTGCAAGTCCAAATTTAAGGGACACAAATATACGGAAATATGATTTTTGTTTACTCGTTACCATGGCAATAGTTTTTCCATAACTGATTTCAGCCAAACTAAACCCGATACAACTTGGCAACCACGCATTTCCTCACCACGAGAATCGGGTTCTTGTTTACTCCCTACCATGACGATCGTTGCCATGGCAACAGTTTTTCCATAACTGATTTCAGCTATACTAAACCCGATACAACTTGGCAACCATGCATTTCCTCACCACGGGATTTTGTTTTTTGTTTACCTGTTACCATGACAATGGTTGCCATAGCAACAAATTTTCCATAACTGATTTCAGCTAAACGAAACTTGAACCAAAATGAGAACAAACCACTATTTATCGGGATATTTAAAGAAAAAGTTCGAAATTTTGCCTTCTTTTCCCCCTTGTGTTGGATGCATTTACAGGTACTTGCTCTTATTATTTTGTCATTAGACACTTTATATACTCACGATGTACTTCACTGACACATTTTAAGATAGAAAATTCAACAGGAAATATGATTTTTATGGCGAGTTTTTCCTATTCAGTGAGCAAGCATACCAGATGACGGCCATTTAATCCATATGTAATCCAAATACGAGATGTCAATTGTCAATAGATTGCTTTGGAATGACATTACACACGCCATTATTTCAAATGATATTCTTCCTTCTTTTCACTAAACATGGACAAATCACAAGAAAATCATATTTCTAGTTGACTCATATGATAAAAAAAATGTGTCCAACATTGTGTGATATATATAAATTGTCCAATGATGGAAAAAGAAGGGCAAATTGTTCTAAATGTGAGAAGATGGTGAAATTTGTAACTTTATAGTGAAATATCTCAATAAATAGTGGTTTGTTCACATTTTCATTATCAAATTCGTGTTTTTCAGACAAAAATACGTAAGTAAAAAAAAATTTCGAAAATTACGAATTTTTCTTTTAGGCTCTCTGATAGGAACATTCTTTGAACGCAGTGACATTTTGGGACAAATCCTCTGGTTTGTCCTTACTAAATTCTTATTTTATAGGAACGAGGAGAGAAAATCCCAAAAAATCATGGATGATGAATGTAATGAATGTATTGCTGTTATTTATAGAATTTTATTTGACCAAGCTACAATTCTTCTGTTTTTGGCAAGTCACTGAAAGTACAAAATGTTTTTCAAAAACAATTTCAGAATTAAATAAAATAAACACCCAAGCTATGAACAAACATACATACAACATTCTCACTAATCTAACAAATCTAGAATATAAATTTTGCTGTTTTCGAAATGTAATCAACACAATTTATCGAGAAGTGGTGGTGTTTTCAGATATTCATCGATAGAGTAAAAACAATGGGACAGCATGTGTCTTTTCAGTTCAATTTGAAGCAGTTATAATTGAGAATCTTGAACTCTTGAGGCAGGAAATTATAGATTCCAATATTCAATGAGTTCATTCGGGATTTGTTGAGTCTATATCGGGGAGGCCTCAAGTCGTTTGCTCCACGAGTTTGGTACTCATGAAAATCGGAGTTGGCACACAAAGTTCTTTTATTCTTCTGAATTTCCAGAAGAGTAGAGTAGATGAATAGGGAAGGGACAGGCATAATAGAGAGTTGTTTGAAAATTTGTTGACAAGGGTACCCTGCACCGGCAATAATTCTTATCGCTCTTTTTTGTATTTTGAGAACATTACACGAGTGAACAGAGTTTCCCCATAACAGTATGCCATAATTTATGTGTGTATGAAAGGAAGAAAAGTAACAGGATCGCACAGTACTTTCGCAGAGTTGATTTTTTATGTTGAAGTGGAAAATTTTTGACATAACTGCTCAATATGGGATGACCATGATAGTTTTTTCATCGATAACTATTCCTAAAAGCATGACACTCTCTTCCCTGTCCGCAATTCCATTAGCAAAGACCAGTTCTTGGATTTTGCTATTATTTGAGGTTGTTTGCATTAAACCAGTTTTGGGCCCTATCCAACGAATCGGCCATGATGATTAAGAGACTTTCTGCATGAGTAGAAGTGTTGATTGAGGTTGTGTCGTAGGCGTATGCAACACATTCAAGAGGAGACATAAAGTGAAAGAGGTCGTTCACGTAAATGATGAAGAGTGACGGGCCAAGGACGGATCCCTGAGGTACCCCATGTGGAATAGTCAGAAACTCAGAACATGTCTCATTTATATGGACTACTTGTTTTCAATTACTCAACTGTGACTGTATCAGATCGAGAGATAAGCCTCTGACACCATACAAACGCAGTTTCTCAATTATAGTAGCGTGGCAGACACAGTCGAAGGCTCTTGATAAATCGCATAGAGCAATAGAAGTATTCATGCCCTCTTCTCTAGAGGTCCTGCAGTCTAGATAGTAGTTATGTCCTTGTTCCATCTCCATCTTCTAACTCTGACGTCTGTTTGTTGCAGCCGAGTGATATGCCGCCAAAGGTACCGGAGAGCGGGGGTGCAGCAACGGTCGCAATTCATCAAGGAGATCAAGGACCACGAGCTGCTGCAAACCAAGGCGCTGGACGGCGTGAGGATACACAGGGAGTTCTGTAATGCGGTCATCGCTCCTCCAAGAGCCGAAGAGATCATCAGGCTGACGGAGAAGCAGAAGATGAAGATCGAGGAGATCCTGGCGAGGAAGTACTGAGTGTAGAATATAGAAGTATCAGTGATGGCGACGGTGGATTCATACCGTGTAATCTTTCCATCGATATTCCAATGTCCTGTTGAAATTGATGCTATGTATTTCCATATTCTTGGGCACTGACGCCTCCAAATAAAAATTTTGCTGCCATTGTTCTTTCATTCCTTTCCAATAGGAGAAAAAAGAAGAGCTCATAACGTCTTCACAACTCACCTATAGCGGTTTTTGAAAATGCAATCTCAGTGAAACAGGTATTTGGGTGCTAGATGCAGATGCAAATCTTCATCACCTATCACGCAAAATTCTTCAACAGACAAATTAGGTGTTTTCTTGCACATCGATATTTGTATGTCGGCTGTTTTTTTGTTCATTGTTTATTTATTGGTGTTAGTTGAAAAACACGATCAAATCTTCGCCATTAATCAAGAATTTATTATAGTGAGTTGAAGGAAAGATACCGTAGATGCATTATTGAAGGAAAATTGCTGTGCTTCGTATTATAGCAACTTCACTGCTTCTACTTGAAGATAATTATTTGCAACAAGTAGCATTTCCATGTTTTGAATTCTTATACAGGGTGTTCCTCAAACACATGCTAATATTTGAGGGGATGATTCTCTGACTCATTGTAAGAAGAAAACTTCATATGAACGTCCTAAAAGTCCTAACTTTTGAGATACAGGGTGATGAAGTTTTGAAAAATATTCCGTTTCTTGATGATAATGAATATATCTGTATGAATTTTGGTACACGTCTTTTATGCATCAAGGTGCATTTTCTGATGTACGAAAATTTTCATTTCTCTACCAGTGGCACCGTTATTACGGTAAAATTATTGTTTATATTCTACTTAAAAGTGAGCAACGACGAAAAATTTTCAAATTTCATACAATGCTATAAAAGGCTATTTAATTATGTACAAAAATGATCCTTCTGTTGATACTCGATAGAACGCTTCGTTTTCGAGAAAAAACGGAAACGAGACCACAAAAAAACGTTTCGATAAGTATTCATAACGTTCGTAGCAATCTATTTTGTTCTCAACCAGTTCAACTACGAGCAAATGTTAGTTTTTATTTTCAATTTCTCGAGTACAAGGGAAAATATGAAAAAAATCTAAAGAGTTATTACGGCAAACTCACTACTTTCAGCTAAATGCCCGAACAGCTATTTTGGCATAATCGACTTTTGTGCGGTGTTTTATTCAAGACAAAGTATTCGTTAGTGTGGCATCACCCACCAGACGGATGGCTCTTCTCTGGAAGGAATCTAAGTGCATCAGCGTATGTTTGGGTGCTGAACCCCATATATGAGAACAGTATTCTAAAACTGTTGTTGGTGTGAAGTTGATTTTCGCACGAAATGAAAATGTGAAGCAGCATTCGCGAAGGATAGGATATGATTGATTGACAGCGTTGAACTACCCTCTTCGTAAGTTCTTAGTAAAATAGCTTTCGGTTTCTACGTACATTCTCGATCTATGCAGTATCGTTTTATATAGGGTGATTCAAAATTTGATGTAAATATTTTAAGGATGTATTGTTGGGATCAAAATAAGACTTTTTGTTGATATAAACATGTGTCCTAAGATGCACCCCCTTTCGACTAATAAAAGTGAGGACCCCTCCAATTCCCCTCCCCTTTCTCTCAAAACTGGGTTTACATAATTTTTGAATAAAGAATGAAATATCTAAACCTAAAGGAAAACTTCTTGATGTGCTCGAACACTATGGAGTACGGGGTACCGTGTTGAATGTTTTCAAAAGCTACATGTAAGAATCAGGGATCAAATCAGTGATCGAGAAACCGTTCTTATGGGTGTCCCACAAGGCACAGTTCTTGGTCCCTTATTATTCATCACTTACATTAATTCCTTATTATGTTCTCCTATAGATGGCACGTTGATTTCATACGCTGATGATACTGTCATTTTATTTAAAGGTGATACATGGAACCAAGTGAAAGTAAAAGCAGAAAATGGAACATCAATAGTAAAAAGTTGATTAGATCATCAAAAGCTATCTTTAAATATTAAGAAAACAACTTATATTGCCTTCTCCTTAAATAATGCAAGTAGACCAAACTTTAGCTCCCTAAATATTGAGAATACAAATTTAGAAATAATGGGATCAGATTCTACTAAATACCTTGGAATCACTATTGACAAGAATCTAAAATGGAAGAAGCATGTTGCAATCTTAACGAACAGGTTGAGAAGATTTATTCACAAATTTTATGAATTGAGAAAATTCATGACAAGGCAACTCCTGCTTACAGTGTATAAAGCTTTAGTAGAGTCTATTCTGAGCTATGGAATTCTGGTGTGGGGAGGTCTCTACAGTAATGCACTCAGCCCATTAAATGTTATACAAAATGATATCCTCAAGATAAGTATATACCCGACAGCTCTACTCTATGACAGCAATGTACTCAATATCAGAATGCTATATATTTCCTCAGTAACTGTCAATTCATGTTCAAAAACAAATGTTCGCAAAATTTTTTATCTCACTCATATAAGACACGTCAAGTTACAAAGAAATATTTATCCGTACCTTTCTGTCAAAAAGGCTCTACTCAGAGGTTTGCAAAAAATATAGCCCCCCGAATTTATAATATGCTGCCAACTGAGATCAGAAATGTTGATAAATATAAAATGTTTCCTAAGATGTGTAGAGTTTACATAAACAATAATAATTATAATTCATTCAGAACTTGTCTGGATATCAAATAGGTAGGTAGTTGTAGTAATTAGAAAAAAAAACTGTCCTTGTGTTTTTTTTTGAGATTAGTTTATATATTAGTTCTTGACTTGAAAATAACAGTTTTTCAGAAAAAGAAATAAATCTTTGAAAGCTATTTAAATGAGTTAGAAAATAATGCACACACAGGTGTTACACCTAGGTGCATGTTTAAATCTAGAATCTACATGTAGAAATATCTGTATCGAACATGTATGTATGATATATATTGTAATGAATTGTATTAAATTGTAAATTGTAAATTGTAAAGGGACAGGGGCCTGCCAATTTTCAGAAAATTTGATCCGTTTTTCTAGTCATAATTTTCTTCACCTATAACCTACAGTGGCTGTAGCTTGGAGGGGGTGAATTTTAGGACACATGTCTATATGAAGAAAAAGTCTTATTTTGATCCCAACAATATGTCCTCAATATTTACATCGGATTTTTTATCATCCTGTATACGTTTCGGCATCATGACCACTTTCGGCAACTTATATCCGGTGATCCGCAGCGAAGTGTCTTGAACCCGTGTCAAAGTAGTGTCATGATGTCGTGATAATCAACCTGACAGCTCGACACATCCATCTAAAGACACCACCTCATCCAGTCCAAGTGATGTTCTCAAACTCCTACCAGAGCGGCTTCGTTTCGATATTCTACAGCGTCGGAAGCAATCCTTTAGCACTCTGGGATAAACAAGTAAGCCAATTAAAAAGTTTTCTGTCGGCGGATTTAGCGCCGGAAAGCCTGATTTACAAGTTTCATTTTACCATTTCCATACAACAAAAACGATTCACAGCTGCGATATCCAACAGCGTAATTAGATATTCCAAAGAAAATTAAGCTGATTTTAGTGCGGGGATGTAATAACCGAATAATTCATAAGTTTTTTCACCGCGTGTCCAAAGCCGAGTCTAGACCTCCTCGTGATTGTTTCAAATGATGGAGATGAAATGCAGATTATTGGATTAGGCACCTAGCACACATTCCTCAACTTTTATACTTTGATATAGCCTTGGCTCTCGTTTTGCGTCTAAAGCAGTCCATCCACTGCGATCCGAGGCCTATTGTGGCTACTTGTGAGTTCATATTTTTCCCATGGTGTCCAATCTATTAACAGAACTAGATTTTGTATTGTGAGAACGAGTCATCAGGTTTGGGGCATGTGCTAGTTAATTTTTTTTCTTGGACTAGTGTTCCAGAGGATATTCAACTAATTGACTAAATACGTAGTAGGTACCTAATAACTTCAAGGTTTATCAATAGAGAAATTTGATGAAATGAACTAAGTATATAAGGTACCAGGTATTAGGGGCCAGGTAGCCGTGCGGACAGAGTGTCTATATTCTAATCCGCATTCGTTTGCCGGTCGTGTGTTCGATTCTCAGCGACTGCAGAAATTTTTCTGATGGCCCAAGAAAGTGTTTGGGATCACACGTTGAAAGGTAATACCCCCGTCATTCCTTGCTCGCACAAGACTCTCGAAGACTTCTGAGGGTTGCTCGTAAGGGTGCAACCGAATGACGGATAGAACAATTTTAGAACAAAATTTAGAACCTAGGGCAGCAAAACATAACCATAACATAATATGATCTTCAGATTTTTGGTGGTTTGGTTTTGTTGGTTTTTATTTTCATCATTCTTATATCATTATCTTCTTTACTCACATCAAAATGATGGATAGGGTGATTAATGATATTATCTCAGAAGACATATCATCTGATAGCGATTCTGATATCAAAAGTAGGAATAAACATTTCTCATAACAAACCATCTCGTAGATTAGTGACAGTTTCAGCGTCTACTGCCTCTTCCAGTTCGAATTCATACATTGTCCCGAAGTATTTGAAAATGATAATATATAATTTTTATCGACTCATACCTTGATACTGGCACTACATCACCATTTCTGCACCAGTAGCCAACAGAGTATACTTTTAGCCTCTTAGCAGGGTTCCTTGCAATGACTCGCGAAAAAGTTGTCAGTAAATTTCAGTAAAATTGGAACGATAAAACTTGCACAAACGCAGATTCAAACCATGGTTCATTCGAGACAATATGTTCCGAAATAACCTTCACGGTAATTATAACTGATGAAATATATGGCCGGTGTTCATTATCCATATCTAACTGCTATCTCGAAATGTTCCTGAGAACATCTCTAAACTCTTTTCCTGATATCGATAAAACGTTCTTACCGACTTTCATGATCAAGTACGTGCTCAATATAAGACTCACAGTATCCTCGTTCAATATATTATACATGATAACTGGCATATAATGGTTAAAATGCATACATTGGAAGTACCTCAAGGACTAGTTGTAGGATCCATATTTTATGAAACACTTACAATTTATAACGCTTTCATACATCCTACATAATCTGTTATTCTGGTTTGAACGTCATTATTTTACAAAAATTCGTGTTCACGAAGTTGAGGAGAGAAATCATGATTTTTTCATTCAGTTGCGAGTTCCGAAAATATCTCAAAATGGAGTAGGTACCAATATATTTGTAATAAATCGTTCATGAAATACTGATGGCTGTCGAAAAACAGTCAAGTTCAATTAATTTGTTTTTTAGGTAAAAAATGGCCACATCCGAAGAGTTATTGACGATGAGATCAAATCGCTGGTCTTGGAAATATCGGGAACCAATGTAGCTACCACCTACGTTACGTGCCCCATCAAACCTAGAGCTTCTCTGGGGATCAAACTACCGTTCTTCGTCATGATCGTCAAAAATATGAACAAGTATTTTACTTTCGAAATACAAATTTTAGGTAAGGGTCACGATAATTGATAGGTATGTACTAGGTGTTTTGTATTTTTTACTTTCAAAATTAACAGATACACATTATATTAATCTGACTACTTTCCCATTTATTCTCATGACATAATTATATCAACGCATAATCATCACCCACTATCGTGATCAAATATAACAACACTATTATTGAACAAGTGAGGTACGTAGTTTTTGAAAGGTATCAGATTAGTATAGATGTAGTTTTCATTAGGTATTAGATTAGTATAGAGGTCAGATAATTTATACGACGCTATAAAAGCAGATGATATTTCATCATTGCTCATGTAAGATTGAAGTAGAGGCCATGGCACCATATCATGAGCATATTTTTATATTGAAACTATCATTGGGCACCAAAGATGTGTATATGATGCTATGAAAGTTCAGAGAACTGAAGATTTTTCTCACAAACTACGTACTTAGCCCACTCGACTGTCTTGGTTTTTCCACAGAAACTACGTACCTAGCCCACTCTACTGCCAATAGGAACTAAAAAAACAAAAACAAAAGAAAGTTAAAACAATGCCAACATATTTCTTCTTTGTGGGAAATCAAGACAGTCGAGTGAGCAAGGTACGTAGTTTGTGGGAAAAAATCAAGACAGTCGAGTGAGCTAGGTACGTAGTTTATGGGCAGAAAATTAAGACAGTCGAGTGAGCTAGGTACCTAGTTTATTGGCGAAGAATGAAGACAGTCGAGTGAGCTAGGTACGTAGTTTATGAGAAAAAAATCAAGACGGTCGAGTGTGCTTTTTTTTACTTTCTTTTGTTTTGTTTTCTATTGGCGAGTGTTTATCTAGGAACTTGTAAATTTTCTAGTTTTTTCATCGTATCTCCCGAACTATTGAATTCAGAAAAAAATGTTATATAGGAATTTTTTGTAGATTCTATCGAAAGGAATAGTTTTGTTTCCATAACATCTTCAGATATTTTCAGTTGTTTTCGAGATATTTGGAATTATCTGAGAATAAAATTTTCAACACTTTTGTTCCATCATCCAAAAAGGAAAAAATATTTCATGGTTCAGTGGAAGTCGATGAGCATCATCTATCGATAATCTTTGTTTTTCAATATATCTCCATGGTACCCTATATGGGTCGTTCAAATTATTTTTTTCATATTTTTCACTTCATTTCCTGTACTATTGGGTTTACAGAAAAAATTATTGGTAATAATTTGTAGGAAATGTTCCAGTGGATGACTTTGCACTTCTCATAATTTTCGATTTTTCCATTTGTTTTCGATATATATTGAATTGAAAGGATATCAAATCTTGATGTTCTGATTTTCATTTGTTTTTCCATTTTCCGATAAATGCACGAAAAAATGGTAACATAATAATTTGTTGCGTCATCAAAGAGGCATACGGTGCATTTTTCAAATTTGGGTTTAGTCTATTGGTTCAGGAGATATGTCGTTTTGAAGCGAACCGTGTGTTTCGGAAAATCTCCTTGAAGAACCCACTCGGAATTTTCCGACCCTGCTCAATTTCAATAGGCTTCGTCTCACCCTGATAGAGTTTTTTTTTTCACAAAAAATGAAATCGATCGGACCACTTTTACGATTTGTAGAGTGGTTACAAGAAACTTCCGGTGAAAAATCGAAAAAACCAGGAAAAACCACCTCAGTTTTCCGATTTCCTTCATATATTAATGACATGATATTGTTTTGAGTACAATAAGATGACGAAATTTCAAGTCGATATGTCAAAGGGTTCCGGGGATATATCGATTTATGATTACCACAGAGTACAGACAGACAGACCACACACAAAAACCAAAGTTGCTCAAAATTCGATGGGGATCATTTTCTCCAAAGTAACTATACCTCTATCTCGCTTAGTTTCCGAGATAGCATTTTTGGCAGGGCCGTAGTATACTCCCCTATATATAGGTATAGCGTCGTATAACAAGTATCAACAATCAAGGCCTCCGGTGAGGAAGTATGTTGAACATCTTCAACTTCTAACTTGCATATGTTTTACTACTGTTTTATTCACAAAACCCAATTTACAATCATGGTTTGGTGTGTTATCATCAACTAAGACGTTCACTTTTATGGGAGTTTGATCTCCGGTTCCCTTATTTCTTTTGTTGAGTGTGGGCAAATATACTCTTGTCCTACGTTCCCGAACTTTTCTCCATTCTCGTCTCAAACAAGTTTTATCTGGGTCTATTTTCCAAATAGAACAATTTTCATTTGCGTCTCCAATCAAGAAATGATTTGGAGTTAGTGGCTGTGAATATTTTGGATCTGTGGACAACGTGGTTAATGGAAAAGAACTGGCGATACTTTTAGCCTCAGCAAATAGTGTTTGAAGTGTTTCGTCCCTTAGTGACTGTCCATATAAAATTTTTCCAATAACCCTTTTTATTTACTGGCCCGATGAGTCTCTCCCAGACTCCACCTATGTGTGAAGCTGAAAAACAACTGAATCTGAATTTGGTTCTGATAGAAGTCATCGCATCGAATAATGAAGATGCATTCAGTGTCCTCATCAGAGTCTGACGAAGTTCTTTCACTGCTCTTCGGAAATTTACACCATTGTTACAAGAATTTGTCTTTGGTTTTCGTCTCCTCGCCACCATTCGCCACCATTTGTTGAATCTGTATTCAAAGTGTGAGGTATTTCCAGATGAATAGCTCTTACAGCAAGACAGGTGAATAACTGAGGCCCCATCGCTTCTCTCTTTCTCCGGCCAAATGATTCCTGAATATTTGTGACTTTATTAACACTGATAATGACATGCCAACAATGAAATATAAATCATTTGGAGTGCAGGAGTCAATTTTTCAAAATTTGGCGGACAGGGTAAGGCGACTCCGGTAATTAATAGAACAAAACATACAGTGGGCCTGTTTTCTAGTGGCTTATTGTAGGCAACAGTTCGGACACAGAAATGGCAACTGTTAGTGTTTTTGAATGTTTATGTGAAGGATTTATTAAGATAAGATATATTAAAGATTCATTAAGTTACACACCTTGCATTGTGACAAGAGCACCATAGTCGTCCCGCGCTTTTTCATTCAAAATTGTCTGAATGAACGTCCGAATGGGGAAGACCACTGAGGGAAAAAATTCGTGCAAACCTCTTTCAATCGACGAATCATGATTTACATTTTATGTACAATCAATATTATGAGTTGAAGTTGAAGGGAATCGAATCTATATCGTTTTGAAATCAGCATATTTCATTCGATATTTCAAACAGCCAAATATGATGGTGGAGTCGTGACGTATTAGTCCCGAACTGTAGCTATCTCTCTCTGATACCTCGTCAATCTGCAGTGTTGCAGTGTAATTGGTCAGTTCAAGGACAATAGGCGTGTTGGGACTAAAACGTCGCACCAGTCACACCAATAAATTGATGAAATTTCAAATGGCGCAGGAATTGTGTGTTTTGAAATGGACATATACTAATTTATTTTTTTCATCGTCTTAGCATGAATGAAAAAATTCAAAATTAATTCACTGGTAGTTTTTCAGTATAGAGTTCACGATAATGTCGTTTTAAAAAATCAGTGGTCTTCCCCTATAATTTCATAAACTATTGAGAAGAAAGCATAAATGAAAATGTCCTTACATTTTATTTTCGTTGAAAATGCAATGAAATGTACTCACTAAAATTGCAATCACGAGTCCAATCTGAATCAGTGTTGGGGATACAGATGGTAAAAAGTCAAGGTTTTTTTTTTCAGTTGAATAAAATTTAAGTGAAACAGGCAAAATTAACATGTTTCAGAACGAATATGCTCATTTATCTCAAAAACGGTTCGTTTCTCGAGAAAACTTGAAGAGCAAAAAAAGCCTCTAATGAACGATCCACATAATTTGATCACTGAAAGATGCCAGAGGCGTATCACGGAAAAGTTTGGGGGGAATAAGGAAGCGTCTACCCCCATAAACGTATCACCCTGTAGATTTTGAAAATCTTTAGATGGCTTGAAATGATCATCTTCTAGAAAGTATTGACCACACCGAATTTAAAAACGATATCTTGACAAGAAAGCGAGATATTTCAACTAATAGAAAAAAATAATTCAGCTTTGACACCCAGTAGCTCCGCTATTGAACGAGATCGGACTAATGTTTATATAAACTTTTTTGATTAAAATGATGAGATCTATCTTCCATTTCAGTTTGTGCCTCAAAACCTGAATCACCCTGTATAAATTTTAGGCCCATTTTTTAACAGAAGATTTCAAAATCCGTTATAGAGGATAATCTGCTGTTCTATCCATTCACAAAACTAACTATTTAAAAATATATATATTATTATTATCATCACACGAAACGCAGATCAAAATTTTCATGAAGAAAGAGGAATTTATTGCAAAACTACGTAATGAAATTGAAAATTTGAGAACGAAACTGGGGAAATCAAGTAAATTGCAACGTGATATACACTGTGTTCAAGATAAGGATGTCTATCATGGGAATCGTTTTTTTTTCTGACGATAATCGAAGAGATATAGGAAAACAGAAGACAGTTTCTCATTCCCTTTTTGGAAGCTCTACAAAATAGACTTAATACATTTTCCGTACGATGCTCCGTTTCGTTTTCCATCATCATCTACTATACCAAATGATCGACATCCTTATAGCTATAAGTATATCCATATGTGTTTATTTTGTCATATTGAAATGTTGTTACATGCATTCTTTTCATTTTTATCGACAACTGTTGATCTGCGAAAAGTGCCTTATCGCTATAAATTGAAGTGAGTGTAAATATACTCTATTTAATTTTATTTTCCATCTACGGCTATGATTGATTTGACAGAAATTGTGACCTCTAAAATCGTATATGACAATTAGGCCCTATTAGGAAAATTGAAAAGACAAAGAGCAGAATATATGTCTTATTCTTTTATTCACTCAAGCATTGTAATTTAAAAAATAGAGAAGGACAAAAGTTCTGGTGTGTCCGAACTCATTGTAGGTAATATTCACGAAATTTCACCCGATCAATGTTATTAGCATTCTTGAGCTACCCTGTGAAACCCAAATTGATTGTGCGAATATATATGTACGATTTTCCTCAGATCTTGAAAACAAATCCCATATAATAAGTAATTAAAAGTTATTCACAGGGGATGACTCGAAGAACAAATGAGTCCCATTATTATTTGAATAAACCTTATGTAGGTATGGAATTGTTTTTATTTTAGATGACAAAGAAATGCATCGAAGATTTCGTGTGTCGAACTTCCAATCAACAACTAAAGTTAGGCCGTTTTGTACAACAATGCCAATCGGTTTGAGCTCAGGATGGAACCAAGTTCAGTTCAATTTAGCCGATTTCACCAAACGAGCATATGGTAAGGACCTCATTCTCATGACTATCTATTCAAAACGGCATTCTATTATCCATAATTTTACCGACCCACTCTGTATCTCTAATGGCTCACGAGGTCCCAATAAAGATGAATTATATCAGCCCAATACCTATTATAAAACACGAAGTAACCTATTTCTCCTCTCAAACCTATTAATTTTCTGTATTTATAATTTATATTATACTGTCCAGGTACGACTTATATGGAAACTATGAGGGTACAAATACATGCCAACACTCGAATTCGCCGTCTTTATTTCACTGACACCCTGTACACAGACGAAGATCTGCCAAACGAATTCAAATTGTTTGGCCCCGCTGCTACCCAGAAGAAGAAACAAGCTGAAACGAGAATGTCCAAAGAACAAGGTATCTGTACCAAACAGGCGTTTTTCCAATATAACAATAAGCTACCGCATGTACCGTGGTATTCCATCATCCTAGTTCTAGTTGTGTTAAATTGTCTTGTAGTTAGCTCATTTGTTCACAGTTACCAAAGAACAAGCCCACCCAGTTACACCGAAAACGGCACAAGACAAGACTGAAGAGGAAATTCCTCCGCCATCAACCCCAATAGAAGAAGAAGTAATACAAAAAACAGAAATCTTCCCGGACGAAAAATTACCAGAAGCTACAGAAGAACATGTTGGCGAAGTTGAACACGTTGAGACCACAGAAGTTGGGGTGGAAATTGAAGCAGCTGATGATGTAAAGCAGGAAGAAACACCAGCAGAAGAAGTGATACCTGAAGGAGGTATTGTTGAAGGAGTTTCAACTGAAGTAGAAACAGCTGGAGATTCCCAAGCTGTAGAAGCAGCAGCTGTTGAAGGTGAACAAGATGGATAGAATTTGAAATGAAATCACATGAAAACTATTTATTCTGTTTTAAGGTGAAGCACCTGCAGATGTGCCCACTGAGGAACCTGCCACCGATGAGAATCCAGAGGAACAACCACCTACAGCCACCGAGCCTACCGAGGATAAGGTAGCTGAAGAGGTGGAAGTACAAGAACCTACACCTTCAGAGGAACCAGCAGCTCCTAGTGAAGAACCACCGACGACTGAAGAACCAGGGATTGAAGAAGTTGCCACTACAGAACCGGCTACTACAGAGGAACCTACTACGACTGAACCTCCCACCGAATCAGAGAACGAATCCCCAGAAGAATGAAGTTTAATTTGACGGATATTTGTAATTTTCAATATCACACCTTCTTGCAGATTTCGTATCGATATTATATATTTTTTGAATTATAAAAACTCTCATTAAGATGAGAAACCATAAAACTGTATCTTCTCAATCCTTCTGTCAGAGGGCGTTGAAAACAGCTCTTTTAAAATATAGATCCAGAGGTTGCTACATTTTAATTTATACTCCCCGAATTAGGATCAACCATTTGGAGACTGTTTCGACTTGATATGACACTAGTGAGCACCCCTTGTAACCCCAATACGTTGAATTTGAACTACAATAATACAGAATGTTATTACTTTTGACACGCTCTCGACTTATAATAAAGACACTATTAGCGGCACTAATTTATCACCAATTTTCTCAGTTGTGCCTGCTCCTCTGGTGACAGAATTTGAAGCATCCTATAAAAACGATACTTGCCAACTGTCAACCATGAACTTTCGTCAGTTCTCTCCATCCATACATAATATCTAGCTAGACTCGCCATTAGACAGAAACTCATTACATTAACGAGATCGAACTGGATTCCATGAAGCATGCGTAATGGGAAACTTCGCTCCAAGTGACCAACTTAAAAACCTCTACCAATGTGGATACAATATTATGGAAGTTTGAATATTCGAATGGCATTATTTTGACTGAATCCGATATATTGTAGGAGTCTACTCATAGGTAGCTGAGTAAGCTGGTTCGAGCAAACGCTTACGCATCCAAACCATGCAGAGGCGAAGAAGCCCTACACAGCTGAATCAGACGATGTGCCAGGTAAAACTGACTCACAAATCTCAATGTTGGCCAGTCAGTTGGTTGGATTCTCTTCAGTATGCCATTATGGCTGCTGTGGAGGATATTCCCGATGACGACCAACAAGTGCGACTCCAGAGCTGTACATTTCGGCCTGGATGGTTACAGATCATCTGCGATGATCAGGAGAGCGCTTCTTAGCTGGCTGGTGTAGCTAATACCATCCAGCCATGGTGAGGTGTCTCCCTGAAATGCGTCTTAAGCGACCAACTCCCCAAGCCACACATATGTGTGGCTTATTACCTGTCTGATGAAGGTGGTCGCAGACCCTCCGAACAGGTCCTCACTAGACTGAGGAAAATGAACCATGGCCTGGCAACCTTGGAGTGGACTATGCTACACAAGAAAACCACAGGCCCGGGTGAAACGTGAACCTTCGCTGTCGACGATGGGTCCATGGCTGCGCTGGAGAGGATGGGTTTTAAACCATATTTTGGTTTTGGTCAGGTTCACTTCTGCCCTAAAACCCGAGATGCCTTTCAGCAAGCCTCTGGATAGGCACAGGGTGACGTCGTTAGCTTCCTGAGCAATAAGAAACGGCACTGGGCAGTATCTCCTGAACCATCTTGTTCAGATCAGACATATACTACTATTCAACATTGAAACAGGCCCAAAACCAGTAAGTAGTGGAATATCGTCACCCAAAAGCTATGGACTGAAGCGGATATACAAAGAATTCCCTCCAATCGCAATTTGGGGACGGATTCACTGCAATACACAGTTGTGATGGGATAGATACTGTAGCGGAACAAATACGCGAAGCAGTGAACTCATCAGTGAAGCACGAAAACTCCACCAATAACCAAAAGAGATGATCAGAACTGCTCTTGGTGGAACAAAGGCCTTATTGAAAAGTTAAGAAATAAAGAAGGGAGCTGGGAGCTTCATGGGTAGAACTACTCTAGAAAGGCCGGACGGGAGTCTTGGAGGAAGTTTTGTGAGAATATATCTGACATACTTCTCAGTACAAGAATTCACAAGATTCTAGAGAGCCGACTGCTGAAATCGGGTCGATAAAAAGACCTGACGGCACATTCGCGACCTCTAGAAGAAAAACGTTAGAGCTTCTGATAGAAAAACACTTTCCTGGAAGTCTGACCCTTGATAACAATCAACCCCCTCTCTTCGATGGCGCCCAACGTCCTCAGAATGATTGGGAGGACGCCAAGAAAGTAATCACAGCACCGGCAGTTGAATGGGTAATTAAATCATTTCAGCTGTTTTGACGTTTTTTTACACTAGAGTACGGGCACTAGACAATATGCAGTGACAATCAAACATAATCACAAACGATTCAGAAGCAAATCATATGATTTGCCAGACAAGGACAAGAATATGTTTATTTTCGCTTAGATAAAGGATCCTCGCATCTTCCTTCCTCCATGCACAAGTCCTGGGAAATTGAAATAAGGTTCTTTTTGATACTCACTCAGTTAATAAATTGTGGGTTCGGCTCTTTCTCAATACGAAAGTTCCAAGTTAAGATTTCTCTGAATGTTTCCAGAACCCATGTAGCAAAAAGTATGAAAATAGATATACCGATCCAAGTTATTAATCGGTAATGTAATTACAAAGTTTTAATTTCTTAATTTTGTGAACCAGTAAGCAGTGGCATATTTTTTCCTTAGACAGATGAACTGTCAAATTGGGTTAGTTTTATCAATACCTAACCTAAAAGTAATAACATTCTGCATGCCTAGGTGAATTTCCATAATGTTGCTTCCACGTTGTTAGAGGTTTCTGTAATATAACTCCTACTCACTGTCCATGGATGACAATTTGAAAACAGTTTTCAAGCGAGCAATTCAAACGAAATGTTCAGGTTGTTGAGGTATAATATGAATAAGTCTAGATAGTAGGTTACGTTTATGACAGAGAACTTGAAGTTTCCTACTAAGACAGCTTCTTTGCAATTATAACACATAGGCACGCGTGTCATCTTTTCATCGCCGATTAAATTGATAGTGTAGCATATGTTGTGATTTCATACACATTCCACTGTTTTGATTGAATTTCATGGCACATGTGGCTCATTTATAGTGCTTCCAAAACTAAGTATTTTGCCCAACACTAAAAGTGCATATTTCAAAAACCGACTATTTCGAACCTTGTACCCTTTGGAATGAACTGATTATTGGGGAAATGTTGATGTCGATTTTATGAAATTGTAACTTATATTTCACATAATCTGCTATATATTTACAATATGTTACATTAATTATTATAACACCTTAATCATCAATTTCATTTAATTCCTCTAAATTAATAAGTGAAAATAAAATCTCTCCCTATAATAAGCTTAACAGATAATTGACCTTTACCTAGGTAATTTATATTATATCCACTGGTTGAAATGTTACTATACAGGGTGGCCATTTGAAAACCAAACAGAGGCAATTTTCGGAACCCCAGTTCATTTACGAGAAAACGCTCAGACCCGAGGGAAAATATGTTTTTGATAGTTTCATCCCCTGAAAGAAGACCCTCTAGCAGGGTTTAGATCCACCTAAAATCTTAAATGGAAAGAAGGCTCGAATTATATTTTATTTTGAAGGTATTTTTACCAAGATTATAACCCTCAAGTTTTAAATCGCTACTATCTTCGTAGCCCATACAGTGGCTCACCATAAATCCAGAAGCAGCTTGTAAAAATTACGTGTGAAAGTCCACATTGAGAGTAGAAAACGAAAGATTGATCAAGTCCAACCATAACTTGAGCTCCTTTTTTTTCAGAAAATTATAGAAAAAATAGACCGTACAACAAACAAACAAAACAAAATGTTGAGACTTTGACACGCTCTTGTGGTGGGTGCGACTGAATATGATAGCCCTCATTGTTACAAAAAAATCATTTTTTAATAACAATATAAAAATTATGTGTAGCCGGTTTTGTTATTTTGGTGGGGTACTGGTATGGGCTACGTAAATTGTAACGATGTAAAACTCGGGGGTTATTCGCGGGAATCAATGTTACCAGGTGGCGCTCGGTTTTCATCGTTCCATGTCAAAGCCACGTCAAAACTGGGGAAAACAAACTCAATCATCACTCAATCCCATTAGTGTCATTAGCTTGTGTACTGTGATAACACTTTATGTCATTGACAAGTTTGACAACTACAGCTACAGCAAAGATGTATGCAATATGTAGTCTATGCACTGCTTTATCCATAGACAACAGTTTGTTTTCCCCCAGTTTGAAGTTCGTATTATGTAACCTAGATGTCGCCCCCTTCGTGAATCTCGCGAATAGTCTAGGTAAAAATACCTTCAAAATAAGATATCACTGGACCCATCTTTCCATTTAAGATGTTAGGGGTGTCTTACCCCAGCTAGAGGATTTTCGTTCAGGGAGTGAAACTGACAAGAAAATGTTTCCTCCTAAAATCAAAAATTGATGGGTGGGTCTGAGCATTTTTTCGAAAATAATCTAGGGTGCCCAAAATCAGCTGTTTCGTTTTCTAATGACAAACCTGTAATGTTACTGAACTCCTAATTTTTTTAGTTACTCAAGGAACTTTTTGGTTCACAGTTGGAAAATCTAAAGCTTTTGAATTAGTTGTTGTTTATGGTCTCTATATTCATCTGCAGTGAGTGAAAGTGATGAATTTCTGAATTACTATGGAAAATTAGTTTTTCGTCGACCTCTACAAAAAATCACATTTACGTTCTAATTTCCACAAACGAAAAACGGACTATTTCCGAAGGCAAGTACTTTTCGTCCACAGACACTAACTTTTCGTCAGCAAACACTTTTTGTCCGCTGCAGGGTTGCCAGTGAATTTTCAGTAGTTCTCCTGATTTGCACATTTATCTACTGCTCTACTGAAACACTTCATAATCTACTGAAATATGTTTTGACACTTATTTATAAATATAATTACCTATATTATTATAAATCTTTCATCAATCATATAGGTACACTTATAAATTGTATATCTGTTCAAATTAATTTTACAAAATAAGTAATCAATATTCATATAGGTACTAATGATATGTATAAACCAAAAAGGGATAATACTTTATCTGATTCTGATCAAATTAATTTTATATGCACCGTGTCCCAGCTAAAATGTCCCCCGCTGTAAAAAATCAATCGCGCAATCGAATGACTTGAAATTTGGTCACCCAGTATATTTGATGATGCTCACTCGAAATATGCTATTGAATAAATCCTAGCTATACAGGGTCACACCGAAGTGCACCTCAACTTTCTTATTTGAATAGGGACACCCAGTATATTATTCTATATTCAAATTTAGCAATGCCGGCGGGTTTGATGGGATTTTTTCAAACGACTACGAAGATATGGCAAAATGAAACGATTCAATGAATAATTTATATTATTAGATTTTATTAATATAACACGATTGAAATCGAATGATGGGTGTCCTGCACATAACTACATACCCGTAAAGGATTATCTTCGCCATCGATTTGGAGAAAATCTAATAAGCACCAATTGTCTCGATGGTGATAGCAACTTGCCAGCTCGACCGCCAGACCTCACCCCACTTGATTTTTATTTGTGGGGCTACTTGAAACAACAGGTTTATGAGTCGCTAATTGTGAATATGGAAGAAATGAAAGAGAAAATCACAAATTTATGCGCTCAAATTGATAGCAACGTGATACATAATATTTTCACAATGAACGTTATCGAAAGGGCTAGGAAATGTTTACAGCAGAATGGACGACATATTGAGCAGTTGGGGTTTTTTTTTCATTCGATTTCAATCCTGTTATACTAATAAAATCTAATTATATAATATTTTTATTGTATCGTTTTATTTCTTGCCATATCTTCGTAGTCGTTTGAAAAAATCTGAACTCTGAATATGAAATGATATGAAATAATATACTGGGTGTCCCTATTCAAATAGGAAAGTTTAGGTGCACTTCGGTGTTACCCTGTATACCTACGATTTATTCAATTGCATATTTCGAGTGAGCATCATCAAATATACTGGGTGACCAAATTTCAAGTCATTCGATCGCGCGGTTGATTTTTTACAGGGGGGGACATTTTAGCTGGGACACGGTGTATACCTCTTTCTGTTAAAACACTTTATTTGTTGTGTTAAATTTTTTTATTTGATTTAATTTTTACTATTCCTTCCTGTGTATTATGTACTCAAATCTCACAAGTACGCAAGTACCTATGTAACTGCATTATGTGATGATTGTGGGTATTTTTATATCCAGAATAATTAGGAATATGATTATTTCTTTATGAGAATGTTTGTTTTGTTTGTTTCTATCTTGTTGAAAATTGATTACTTTTCTGTATACTAAAAGTACATAATGTTTTGACATCATAGGTTAATTTCATTATCCTTTTTTGGAGTTTGTATAGCATTGAATAGACCTGAATTTTTGACAAGGTATTTACTCATAAAAAATCGAACTGGCAACCTTGGTTCGCGCGGAGAGTGAGTTGACAACAACAATCATTTGCTGTCAAATTAATTATCCACGAAATCCGATAGATTTCATGTGTGAATAGGACCGATATGTGGGTATAAGTGTTTGAGGTCGACGAAAAAATGTAATATGTACCTCGGCGACTGGACTAAGCATAAATAACCATTTTGTACCTAGTTATCAGATTAGTTACCCAGGAACAAACAATTATAATCTATCTACCATCCTTACAAATTATCATAACATTCCAAACAAATATCGCAGTGTGGTTTGTGTCACACCAGAGGACTTTCAGACACTGCAGAGAAGCTCTTCACGCGAGAAAATATAAGCGGAGGGTAACGGTTATCCATCAGCTCAAAGTTGCAGGTACTCTCGTCTCCATTTTTCGATTTTACGAACACGGAATGGCGGTCCCACACGAGCTGGGTGTGCTTCCGTCGCCTTGGTTTGATTAGAAACTCCTAGAAGAAAAAAAAGTGATTTCTTTAGGAGATTATCAGTGAACATACAGACATGACTAAAACGCCAATGGTTTATCATTTGAAAATTCTATAAATTCATTTTCAACCGATTAGAAGGCTTCTTCGGAAGATTATGGCCATAATTTTGTTAGTTCCTTTTAACTTTGGAATAAGTGATAATTTTTCTGTCTTATATGTATGAGAAAGTTTCCTATATTGAGGTTCTTATCTCACTGTGAAGTTTGTAAAAAATTCGTTTTAATGAAACGGATCTATTTTCTAGGAAAGTTGCAGATTATATCTTGCAACAGCGAATAATAGAAATTGCAAAGACTTCAAAAATGAAGATAGCCTCATTGCTCTCTTTACCTCATATGTGAGATCACGCATAGAATATGGCTCGCTGATTTGGTCTCCTATTTACTTGAATCACATTCATCTGCTCGAATCAATTCAACGGAAATTCATGAAGTATATTGTATATAGAATTGATGGAATTTATCCTGAACAAGGTTTAGATAATAACTTATTATTAAACAGATTTTCACTATTGTCTCTGGAGGACCGTAGAACATACCACTCTTGCATATTTATCTATAAACTCACAAACAACCTGACTGATTGCCCAGAGTTATTATCTCAACTAAATTTCAACATACCTCGTTTGAACAGTAGAACTTCACTTTGTTTTTATTTACCTACTCCAAGAACAAATATACAATTGAAATCTCCAATTCATTCGATGTGCAGAAAGTTCAATCAGATATGCGAAAAAACTGATATATTTTCAACTCCCAATGGAGTGTTCAAAAAGGAAATAAAACATATTTTTTCTACCTTGTGATGTTTACGAGGCAAATATGAAAAAATCCCTCTTTATTCATATGTTATTCATTAATACATGTTATTATGTTTCCTTCCGTTTCCTTTTTTTTTTATTATCATTATTATTTACAATTGAAATCACTTTCTACAACTACTGAATGATTTATCAAAATACTTTATTTGGCTCTTAGATTTTAGTAATTGTTCACAGTTACATGTACACATTGTAAAAAGCTGTCCTGTAGTGGGTCTTGTACCTGTTTGGGCACTAAATAGTTTTTTTTTTCTTAATACTTCGAGTCCGTCCACACCACTCAAAATACTGACAGGCACAACAAGAAGAAGAAGCCATGGGTGTCGGCATCATTCTGTTCTGATCGATGACAGTGAATTATGAAGGATAGAATCATTGAATGTAGCCGATAGTGCTTCATTGATTCTTCAATGATATTTTCGTTTAGGATCGAGCTCTCTTCGAGATAATTCAATGCATGAATAACAAGATCATAACCTGTCAGTATGAAGCCAACTACCCTCTGCATTCCTGCTCCGAGTGCATTTGTGGTTATGTATGTTTTTGTTTACCAGTTTTACTTCTTCTTCTATTTTTTTCATTCGTTAGCTATTCGCTAGCTATATTCTTCACCATCAGCTATTTTCAGACTAGATTCAGAATGTACGTCACAGTTTGCCGCCCCGAAAATTAGAAATAGCTTCAATTTTCAATTTGAAAATTAAAACGACTTTATCGGTCGCCATTCTGTACAGCGTGGACATAAAACTGGAGAGTTCCTAACTTATTTCATGAAAATTCATCTGAAGGAAACTTCCTCATTGGCAAAAGTCACTCAGTTTCACTTGAAATTATGTAGACATGTATGTAATATCAGATGTTATGGTTACAAACGAATTAATGTTTTCAATGTTCCTCAAATTTTAGTAATAAACCTACACAAACGATAAGATTTCCACAAAATGGCGTGTGTTTGAGAATTTTGTGGAAATCTTATCGTTTGTGAAGTTTTCACATTTGCCATGGATTGAATGTCCGATAACAAATTCATTATCCACACAGAATCGGTCATAGTGTTTCACTCATCATGTGATTTTCCGAAATATTTATTGAATAATTCAGAAAAATCAATCAAAATTTGACGAAACCCAAATAGACGGTCATTTGTTTTCCATACCCCACCGCCCCAGTGATAAAGTAGTGTTCATCAATTCAAGATCCTTCACAGTGAGATGGTTTTGAAAAAAAATCACAATTATAGCCATTCTATAGAGAAGAAAATCGTCGTGATTTTGCATCATTCTCAAATCAAAAACTATATTAGCTCCAAATTTGAATAAGCAAAAATTTGAAGATATTCACAATGCTGTGGACCTCAAAATGATGACACTGATTATATTATTTACAACTGATGTAGACTGAACTGGCTCAAAGTTCTTTAGAATTTCACACTTCTTAAGTGTGAAGAATAGGCATTCTAATATGAGCTCACTTTTCCAAAATAATAACAGTAATAAAGGGAAAATATTTGGAAATAGTATTTTATGCATACTCATATTTCCACTTTCAAAACACTTCACTTTGAATAATCTTACTTTGATTTTTTCAACTCATTCTTAGAGACATGTTGCTAGTTTGAGTTCAATACCTTTAGAGATTCAATTTACAACCTAAATATTAATTTAAGCAGTCTTTGCAGATTTTGAGAAGAATAAAAACTGAAGAAATCTTAACAAATTCAAATTACATTATAGAAATGCTCTTGAAATATTCCTTATCCACAAAAACTATTCCAAGTTGAAATCAATTGTACTTCTGAGACAAGAAAGAGGAACAAAATAAACAATATGACTTGATGAACACAAAATTGAAATTATGGAACAACCCTCTAGTTTTATTGGAACTAAAATGTATAATGAGATTGAAAAAACATCAAAAAGAGTTGAAAATATGATTTATGTAAATGCAATCAAAATTATTTCTCCTTCTATTTTTGTTCCCATGTATATCTTGATTACTTATATTCAAGCAGGTAATTACATTGCCAAAAAAATAATTATACATGAAATAATGTCTCACTTTCACACACACAAGTCACTATAAGCTATGTGAATAAGGTATAATTTAATATACATGATTATGTAATTCAAGGAAAATTATGTATTTCATCAAAATCACAAACCAATCTGACTGACTGAAATTGGTATTTTCCATAGTGGGATTCAATTAAAAAAAAATTATGAAAATTCACTGACATCACTAGATATCAAAAATTCCCCACAAAATTCCCTAAAATAGTAATACAATTTAAACAACTCATGTCTTGATCTTACCATGTGATGAGTCTGTGTAGAAATTTCTTTTTGTGCCTTTTTCAGTCCTTGGGACACCATTTTAGTATCCTGTCTATGAACTACCAGACTAACTGAATCACCCTTCAACCTGTAGTAGCCAGACATGACAGGATAGCGTGCACTCTTAGCCTTCATAGAACTGATGCACTGAGCTGGTTCTTCTGTAGATGTCAGCATCAAAACTGTACCATCAGGAAAAAACCTAAAAATTGATGAATATAATATTATCTCTCATTCCTATTGGTTCAGGAACTATTGAAGTCTTTTGTGCTCACCTCAACAATCTATAGTATGCAACCAGATACCATGGTCGATAAAACTGGTCTTGAAATGCATTTTCACCATTTCTAATATAAGAGGTTCTACTTATGTAGCAACCATCAAAAAGAACTCTTGGCCTTTCAATGTACATGCTTCTCCAGGATTTGTATTCCCCTGGAGAAGAGCCACAGTTGAACTTCCATATTCTGGAGAAAAAAACAAGAGAATAATTCATTACAAACATAATTGACAATGCATATCAGATTCTCTTCACAAGAGCTATCAAATTGTGAATTCTCAAACAATAAATTCCATGAGTATAAATATTATTACTAAGGAAATTATTAAATACCTTAAACAAGCTAATCTCCATATTTCTGGATCCCTTCCACATAGGTAAAACCCTCTACACACAGTAGAAAAAGCCTCTAGAGACCTCAAGTCTAGCTCCTCAGACACCACCCATCTAAGGATGTAAAGTAAAATTTCTACAGGCAATTGGCCAATGTGTATTGTCTAAAATCATAAGGAGTTGTTAAATATATTCTGGAAGGACATTCAATGGCACCTTACACCCCTATCAAATTTTGGAAGGCATAGGCTAGTTCTTCCTTGATGCTTTCTTTGTATCCTTGGCAAAAGTTCTTCTTCATTATCCTCATCTGATTCTTCAGAGGATCTACCATCATCTTCATCAAGCCTTTCTGTGAAAAAGTAATGAATTACTTGTTAGGCTTCATGTTTATTGAACATCTCACCATTATGTGGAGGTTCTGAGACTTCTTCAGTATATTTGGGTTTAGTTTTGTTATATAGTTTCATTTCTATATCAGGTTCAATTTGAATTGCACGTCTGTAGTACTGAAGAGCTTCATATATTTTCCCAGATTTTTCCAGTTCAATTCCTTTGAAAAATAGTTGTCTAGCTTTAGTTTCTGCATCATTGGGTTCTTGTTCAGTTCTGGTGTGAAATGATTGTTTGGAGTGGGTCCCTTTTTCTTCCTGAGTCCTTAGAGACAACTCATTTTGCCATTTTTCACGAAAATATAATAGTTCATCATTCTGCAACAGATATTTGGAGCTCCTTTGAGTATAATACAGCTTAAATCAAATATAATTAAATGAGATTCTATGGAGGCATCTGAGTGAGAGACGATCAAGGGTGAATTTGAAGACAGCTGTGTATACTATTTTACCTGTTTTTCGTTTTTGTTGAGATCTGAATTTGCAGAAGTTCCGCTCATATCGTCACTTTCTCCATAATCATCAAACAAATTGCTCATCTTATAGGATATGGGAATATTAAAACTGGTTCATTATTTTCTTTTGATTTCCATTATTTCAAATAAAATTGAGAAATTTCAATATAATTCCATTCATCTGTCATTTTTATCTGTGCTCTTATTTAACTTTATATTATTTTATTCATTATCACTATTTATCACATTATCACCTACGTGAAGTGGGCTGTCAAAGCTGGATGCTAGAATTTCCGAACTTTCCCGATTGACCAGTGGCACGGGTTTCCCCCTTTTTGGGTATCGAATAATCGAATATCAAAATTCCTCTCAATAATGATTGTTATTAAGTGCCCTAGAGCAGCCTACTTTGAAAAAACAATAACATTGTGAATTTGTGTAGGCACTGCATCACACTGCACAGTTGCTTTTGGGCCTCGAATCATTGTATATATTAGAATAATCATTCCTTACCAAATCAAAGGGTTGAAAGTTGAAAGTCTAACATTTCAAAAATATTCCATTTTCGATACTTTTGCAAAAAACTGCTCAGCTGCTTTCGGGTCAGGGAGATAGGTAATCATGTGTAGAATCATGCTATCAGAAAATAACTCCTTGCGAGATCGTATGGTAGACTCCACACGAAAAAACCACTTTTGCAAAAAACTGCTTAGCTGCTTTCAAGTAAGGGAGATAGGTAATTATGTGTAGTAGTATAATCATGATATCAGAAGATAATTCCTTGTCAAATCGTATGGATGATTACCTATCTCCCTGACCCGAAAGCAGCTGAGCAATTTTTTGCAAAAGTATCAAAAATGGAAATTGTTTTAAATTATACCTATGATTTGACGAGGAATGATTATTCTATAGAAAATGATTCGAGACCCAAAAGCCAAATGGTTAAAGGGGGGAAAAGCGTACCGCTGGTCAATCGGGAAAGTTCGGAAATTCTGACAGCCAGCTTCGGCAGCCCACTTCACGTAGGTTTCATTATCAGTGGTTGCCAGTAGAATTCCTAATGTACTTGACACAGCTGTTTTGAAACATCAGTGTCAAGTACATTTAGGAACTCTAGTTGCCAGCTGCTGGCAAGAACATGGAACGTTAGAAGGGGTAACAATGACATATTCCTTGAATTTTCGCATTCTCTGGATCAATTCAGTTCTGTGCCAAGCGGTTGCAGCACAGAATTTATGTACTCAGTCACTGCACATTGAAATCGAAAGATACATAACAAATATACACGGACCTTCAAATTATACATAATTTGTATGAATATACATAAAACGGCAACACTGAATTGTCTACTGGTATTGGGTCAAAGTGTCAACACTGGAAACGATCAAAACAGAGGTCGAAAAGGTCGAAACTGTCAACAGTGTCAACACCAACACTGTCAACCTCAAAAATTTAAGAAAAAATTCGGAAAACAATCCGAACGGGAAAACTCAGGAAAACGAAAAGTTTACTGTAAAATTCGAGACAAAATTAAAATTATTGAGTAGGTCAAGATTGTCATCAATGTCAAGACGAGACACGACGAATTAAACATTACTGAGGAGCAGACACTTCTTGGATTGTCCCTCATTCCATCTCAATTTCTTGTATAAGAAATGAAGTTTTAATTAATAATAATTATTAGTATAATATTTTGAAAAATGGAGAAAGAAAGGTAAAAATATAATCATTAGTTTAAACTAGAAAATATTTTCATTATGCCTTCATTTAGGCATTTATTATACAAAACCAATACTTTTTTCAGATTTTCACTTCTTCAATTAGATCCAGGTGAAATTTACTTTGAGGATTTTAGTGCAATTTTTATTCCACCAGATACAACACCAAAAACCTATGATTCCAAAAAGCAAGACGGGCGGCTCAAGATGTGTTCAAAATCTCTGATTTTTGATCCAAAAGAAATCAGCAAACCCATAGTGAAAATTCTCCTCAAAGATTGCATTGTAATAGAGCAATGGAAAGGAAGTGCTAAATTCCTGAACAGTAACAATGTATTGAGTGTGAATTGTAGGGAGTACATTGAAATGTTTGAAAAGAATGTTATTGCTCCATATCAGTTCAAAGGACAAGCAAATTTCTTGTTTTTGTTGAATTATGCTAATATATTGAATTGTTTGCCCCAGATTTCCCAGTTGCATAGGGCCAGCACTCTTCCAGCAGCTGAGCAAGCTGATATGGTAAAAAATATGCACAATTCATAATGAGGATCAATGGCTCAATATTTCAAAATTTTCAGATTGCAACCATTGTTCATTCAAGACAGTCTAGGGATAATTTTGATCCAAGATGGATGGATTTATATGAAAAAGTCATCATGGAATCACAGGCTGATATAGTAACTCCTTTAGTAGTTAATCCTGGAAGAATAGTATTATCATCCTCAAAACTGTATTTCCAGCCCTACAATAAAATGGGAGAAGTAAGTACTTACCTGTAATTTATGGTACCTATATTATTACTTGTAAACCTCCATTATTTATTGTTTCTATCTGGGTTTCTATTGATCTAATATGATTTGAATACTATTATGGTTATATGTTCTATTTGTATCTACAAGTTGTACAATTTGTTCACTTTGTTGTAGCTGCCTAGTAGGAACAAATTCAAGAAAGTCAGAATCATGTTTTCCTCAAAATTCATGTTTAGCTTTCTCTAGAACTACAAAAAAAGTTATTACATATTGAGGAACTGAATTTATTATTCAGTTTATTCAAATTTATTCCTTTATGAAATATCAGAGGTGTAGTATTTTTCCATTGATTTTTCTTCTTCAATCTATTTACTTTTAATGTGTTTTTTCTATGGAAAAATATCCTAAGTCTGATTTCTTTTCATGAAGAGTTGTCTAGCAAAGTGAGGTACTCTAGAAAAGAATTGCCTTGAGAAAAAGCCCAGAAGAAGCTTCAATAGTACATACATATGAAAACTTATTATTTTCAATAAGGAAATGAACCATCAGCTTATTTCCGGTTTTTCCTAGAATATTCATCTGTTTTCAACTAAATTTCAATAAAACTATTCATGATATATCTGGTGATATATGGTTTTAAATGTCCCAGTAATAAAAAATATAGAAACTCCTTTTGAATGAACTGAAACTGAGTCTAAAAACCTGAAACCCAAGCTAAAAAAAATAATCAGCTATGAACTAGGTTACCTAATCAAAGAAAAGATGTAAAAATATACTTTATTAGAAAAATATCACAAGGTTTGAGATAACACAAGAGATATCATATCAAGTTATTAATGCAATGCTCATTTGTAGCAACATTCACAAAAATTAATTCCAATGATATGAAATGATTGATAAAAGCTCTTAATGATTAATAAAAGAATAACAAAGATATAAGGTATGTTTTGGAAGTAGTCATGACTAATACACTGGAAGAATGTCACTTCCAAGAACATGAAAACAGGAAAAATAAAATATGCATGCCAATTGTGACTCACTACATACTATATACATACATTCTTGGAGGTGTGATGTTACTTTGAAGGTGCATGATCATGAGATGTTCAAATGATTGGCAATAAAATTCAAATAAACAATATAAATATGATTTATGATATGATATTTCAAAAGAAAATTCATTGCCCCCAGTGTATATGACGTCATTGAATTTTCAATCTCAGATGGTGCCTATTAACATCATGAGACACATTTTTCAAAGTGTCCTCGTTTCTCTGCCTTAGCTGATTTCATGACTCATTTGACGGTTATATTTACATTTCAGTATCCAGTGAAGATCGATCTGAAAAGTATCAAACAAATAGTAAAAAGGAGATTTCTCCTAAGACATATTGTAAGTATTTTCATCATTACTTTCTGCTCTTGATTATATTACATTATATTCTTTGAGGGCCTCGAAATATATTGTAATGAAAATTCTGCTATGCCACATGCCTATTTCTCATTCAGAAATCAGGCTATGAGGGATACCATTTTCGATCAGTTATTACAACAACCTGAACTCAGAATGAACGAAATTCAGCAAGATGTGATGACCTTGCAATGGCAAAACGGAGTGATTTCAAATTATGACTATCTTCTATACATAAACAGGTATGCTTCAAGCAGAGAGAATAACAAAATAAATTATAGTTGTCAGGAATGTAACACCTTTTGAAACATCAGTTTGGCTTCATGAAATGTTTATTATCCAACACCTCTATATTTTTGAGGTTCTTTAGAAACGAATTGTTGGAAACAAACGTTGTAGGTCACAATATGGTCAATTCATATTGATGGCCCTCATCATTTATTAAATGGAACACTCATACAGAGTTAATATTGTGGAACCACCTGTATATATAGGTACTATTGCAATGGTGTATTCTTCCTTTCAGATGAAATTTGGAAGTGGAACAGTAACTATAAATGAACATTACTGAGAATGAACCACTGCAGATATATCTCGAGATATATGCTAGGTGATTCCATACCCTCAGCAACCTCTGTATTTTTTTTATCTATTGGAGCACAAATACACAGGAATCAGACAGAAATATCACATGCATTCAGACTGTTCAATATGTTTCAACTACAGATTACTAACTAAACTAACTAACCCGAGAATCTACCCATATAACAAGATTTTTCAACAAGATTTAGTAAAATTTTCTAAATCCTTTTCAATTATTGTTCTGTGACTTTCAATAATTTATCCTCGAATTTATCTCAATCAATGATGAAGTTGGAGACTGCTATTATGTCACTCGGTATATTGATGGATCATTTGTGGAGTCCACCAACATAATCTACTATCTAGACTGCTAATGACAAGATTCTAATCTTACTTTTCTTATTTGTCTACAAAGGAGTGTGATGGTTTTTTACAATTATTTTGGCATAGAATCGTGTTTTTTTGGCTATTCAATAATTCAAGCATGCCATCACATTGTGCTGTTGTACAATGCACAAAATATGCAGCAAGGTATGAGGTAGGTACATTGTGATCTAAAAGTACTGTAGTCACTCACATATAGTTTTCCTTTTGAAATTTTGTAATATCCCATTGGAATATCTTCTGCAATAGGAGCCAATAGAAATATCGTGAAGTTTCTGAAAGAAGGCAAGAAGATTGGATTCCTGCAATCAAACGGGAGGACTGGTCTGATCTGCTGACGAAATATGATCATGTGTGTTGTATGCATTTTCACTCTATGAGCAGTTTTAGCTTCTATTGCAGAAGTGACAGGAATTCTAATGAGAAATGACAACATTTCATAATGAAAACTACGTGAGATCACTATTTTCACAACTGGTTCTATTTTAACCTGAAAATCATATTCCTTCGCCTCTCGCTGCATTATTCTTTGTGAATTAATAAAAAATATAAAAGCTGTGGCCTGTTTTATCGAAAATATTCGAAAAAAATTATGTAGAATATTTGAAGGAATAGAAAATCTCAAGTTACCGAAAGACTTAAGCCGACTTACGTTTTTTTACTCTCAATGTGGAACTTTACGACCAATTCTCACATTTCCGTAGAAGGATCAGATATCTTAGGAAGATGCCAAATGGCACGAAAAAAGAAGTATATTTATCAGCTCTATTAACGGGGATTCGACTGCCGACTTCGTTTTTGTGATTGTGAGTTTGAAACGCTAAAAGAGCACAATACCTGGTATCACATCGAGTGAGACATCCAGGATACTCGAAAAACAAAACCCTTATTATTTACGCCGGTATCCAGGCCGGATGGGGACGGATTCTCCGTAATAGGGGCTCTGGCTGTATGTCGTAAGACAAGAGGCTATATACCGGGTGGCTACGGAAGTATTGCCTACGGAATATCTCAGTTATTGTATGAAGTAGGTTTGTGAAATTTGGAGCGTCGATATAATGACATAAGAGCTAGAATTTGAGCATATTGACATGTCGAAGTTAACTTCCGGTCTGACCGCAATAAACATCAACTTTCTTATTTTAAATGGAAACCCTATTTTTTTTCTTTTCACTTTATTCAGCATTCAATTCCCTTTCTAATGACATATCACAAGTTTGGTATCTAACCAGAAACTAGATCAGAAAAAAATTGTTATCGAAATTCACCGAGTAGGCCGTGAAAGCAAAATGAAAGCAAAAAAATGACTTTCTATTATATCATTAGGAAGGAATGGTTATGCTGAATAGTACAGGCAAGAAAAAGTTTTATGTTCCTATTTAAGTTATGGACCTACAGAGTATTGTTTTTTTCCCAATTTTTCCAATATTTTTTTTGGCGTTTTTTTATAACGCCGACGAATGAAAATAAATTATCACAGTAGTAGCAACTGTTATCAAGTGACGTATGGTTTCCATAGCCATCTTTTCAATTTTTGGCTTCCATTTTGCTTCCACGGCCTACTCGGTGAATTTCAATAATAATTTTTTTCTGATCTATTTTCTGGTTAGATACCAACTTGTGATATGTCATTAGAAAGGGAATTGAATGCTGAATAAAGCGAAAAGAAAAAAAAATAGGGTTTCCATTTAAAATAAGAAAGTTGATGTTACTTCCGGTCAGACCGGAAGTCAACTCCGACATGTCAATATGCTCAAATTCTAGCTCTTATGTCATTATATCGACGCTCCAAATTTCACAAACCTACTTCATACAATAACTGAGATATTCCGTAGGCAATACTTCCGTAGCCACCCGGTATATATTCAGAGAGAGAGGTAGAGAGAACATTCTTATCATATATCATAGCTCTCATTCATATTCCCGAACAAGTTCATGTGATGAATGACAGTTCAAGATAGTACGTTACGGTGGTGGATTCTGACAAAATCGGTTCGAAAATTCTTCCTATTCTGCAGCTTAGGCGATCGAACAATCAATGACCTCACGCAATACCCAGTCTTCCCCTGGATAATATCCAACTACGTCTCGAAAGAATTAGATCTCGACGATCCCGACAACTACCGAGACTTGTCGAAACCCGTCGGAGCACTTAACGATGCCAGACTGCAACGGCTATTAGAGAGGTACCACGAAATGCCGCATCCGAAATTCATCTACGGATCGCACTACTCAACCCCCGGGTTCGTGCTCTACTACTTAGCGAGGTTCCATCCCCATTACGTGCTGTGCCTCCAGAGCGGTAGGTTCGACCATCCCGATAGAATGTTCAATTCGGTTTCTGATGCTTTCAAGAACTGCCTAAACAATATGTCCGACTTCAAGGAGCTGATACCCGAGTTCTACGATGTATCTAGGGAAGGGGCGTTCTTGTTGAACCACATGGGTATCAACTTCGGTTATAGGCATAACAATGTGAAAGTGGGCGATGTGGAATTGCCGCCTTGGGCTAAAAATCCTCCAGACTTTATCAGGAAGCTACGGGAAGCGCTAGAGAGTGATATAGTATCGGCTAACTTGCATAACTGGATAGATCTCATCTTTGGGTACAAGCAAAAAGGAGCTGAGGCTATGGCTTCTCATAACTGTAAGGAAAACACAATAGTGCTGACAGGTGGTCCAGATTCAAGAAACAGGGTTTTCACGTATATTTTGAATCTCTCTCCAACCCTCTTGAAAGAGCTATAAAGAATATATGAAAATTTTGTAGGGTTTCATCTAAAGGTATATTCTTCGAATACTACAAAAAAAAACAGTTGGACCCATATTCCACTTGATTCTCATTCTTTTTGACATGCACTTTTTTGAGCAACAAATCTCTGAAATAATGCATATTAAGATTATTTCCATTATTTCCATTCCGATCAACCCATCAACCTTTCAAAGAAGTCCATGGTAATTCAAAGTGGAGTGGAGAACTTTGATTAAGAGTGACCAAAGATCACTCAAAGGTACATGGTTAGATTTTAAGGATATAGTTCTAGAAAACCGATAATGACTTGGGATATAGATGCAATAATTTCTTAATTACAGGAAATAAAAATTGAAATTCAAATAGTGTAGACAAAAACAGGGCTAACCAAAACAAATATGCTCCATGATCTGGAATACAATCAGTTAATGATACTGTAAAAAATGAAGTTATTGGAAAAACTTACTGTGTATGTAAAAGATGTGTATTTTATATAAGATACATTGAAAATTCAACTCCCTAAAATTTGGATGTTAAAATATACAAAAAAATATATTCCATTCTTGAATCATGTGACAGTGTGTTTGAAAAATATAGATGAACTGGTACTGGTACTGGTACTGGTGGGGGACGTTTCCACGTCAGCAACTAGTCCCCAATGGTTCCTTTTTGCAAACCCAAAGTGTTTTCAATGACTGATGTGGTTCGCTCAAGAGAGCTGGCTAACATCCTTTTCAGGCACCGCCCATCAGCTCTCTTTCAGAGTATTTCAGCTGTGTTTTGTAGGCTAGTAATGTACTCACTACCATATGCGCAGTGGCAGGCCTGCTAACTACCATCGTTAACCCCCGAGACCGAGGTCTACTTAAGCAGCTGGCCCGCTCTCACGCTCAGCTGGTAGTTTTCCACACCCACCTACATACACCGTCCTACTTCTTCACTGATGCTCACAACCACATCATCATATCTTTCTGCGTGTTCTGTGTAGGCTTTGTTACTAACTCCATGCGCCACTTTAGGAGCAGCACTGTTAATTGGAACGCAACAGCGAATCGTGCAGGACTATCCCCAGCCGATGCTCCGAAACTTTACAATATTTAATTCGTAAATGAAATATTGAAAAAAGTTCCTTGCCCGTGCTGGAAATCGAACCCACGACCTTGCGGTCGTGAGACGGACGCTCTTCCGCTGCGCCAATCCCGGCTCTAAAAAAATATAGATGAAGCTCTTGACCTTTTTCATTTCACTTTTTTTTCATGACTGTTTTGACAACAGCGGAGGGTTCTATTTGGGTGAAAGAAAAGTTCAAAATATACGTGAATACTGAATAATTTTTCATCAGGGCCACCCGGTATTTAGTTTGTTCATAGATTGTTTTCAGTGTACTATCATCTTTGTTATGAAGGAGCGGTGGATTTGGACTCGATTACGGATTTAAACCAAAGGCATGCTCTAGAAGTCCAAATCATGGAGTTTGGACAAATCCCTAAACAAGTTTTCAAAGTACCGCATCCACGGAAAAAAGTCGGATCAATGATTCCAATTGAGCCGTCTCAAATACAACAAGTTGATGAGATGGAAGGTACTACTCCATAATATTTCAATCAGAAACTATTTCATCACATCCGAGTCACTAGTCTTTGAAATTGACATTTTTTGCAGACAATTGGAAGAACTTGAGCGCGCTGGATTTACAAATCAGTTTCAATTCTCACAAGAATACCGTCAGTCATGTGTTTGTGAGTGACGATGGTACTAAAATAACCTCAGTAGGCCATGATTCAAAGCTCAAAATATTTTCTCTGGCTCAGAACAAACAGGTTAGGAGTGCGAGCATAGGAAATATGCCTTTGAGCAGTTGTATACAGTTGCCAAATGTGAATGTACTCGTTATCTCTAGCTGGGATAATGAAATGTAAGTATTTGGGGAACTGTTCTCTTTCTACAGATATTGAAACAGGTTAACTGATACATTGACATATCACGTTTTGGAGATTGGTTATGTACACATACCCAGAATGACGTCATAAAAACGTCTTTAAGACGTTGACGCAAGACGTTCAGTCAAATCTTGTCTTCAAGACGTCCGCTGTTACAAAATCGGATATTGAAGATGTCTTTATTACGTCCAATGGAACGTAAACTGGACATCCTGAAGACGTTTTTTAAATGTCTGGTTAATCTTCAATATATACCTCACTAGAACACTTTTAATTTCCAGTTCTTCTGAGCCATGACTCTATCGAATAGAATGATTGAATACAATAGTTACACCAATTTGTATTGTCTTTGTATATAATAAAATGTACAATGTAACAGGACATAAAGGTAGTGGAAATATGAGCCTATTATAATCAAGTTATGAAGAATTCATTCAACCTCATTTTAGTGTGATACTTCATGAAACACTCTTGAACATAAATTGATCTTGCATTTTGTACGTGTAACTTCTCACGGGTCTAAAAAGTATATATTTTCAAAATCGTCCTGTATCTGATAAGAAACATTTATGCAAAATCTGATAAGGTCATCTTGAGTTTCACAAAAATATATTACAGGAACGTATAACCGCAAGGTTTTATCTTCAAAAACAACCGAGAAACCTTGAGTAAATCTGTTTATAATAGGGATACAGGAACAAATATAAAAAAATATGTATAAAAAAGGTTAAATATTGAATTACACTCAATGGAAGCGAAAAATTCTTATTTTTTTCCTAAGATAAAAGTTATCACATTTCAATTCTGAGTAATCGAATCATTCCACGTATTTCTCAATCAAATTGTCCTGACCAGGTATTGTTTACGATTGATTTCAAATCTTCTTGCATCATGTATATTTTTCAACTCATTCGGTAATGAGTTGTATAAAATTATCCCATTATGAAATACAGATTGTTTGCCAATGTTTACCTCGAATTTATTCACTATCAAGTGATTCAATTGTCTAGTCCCATGATGACCTGTATGTTGACTTCATTAAGAGCTAAGTTTGGTGTGTTCAATTTGTTCCTGGTAAAATGAATAAAACAACATATTTTAAGTTTTCACATTCAGAAAATTACTATGTTTGTATGAATTTACTGTTGATTCTAGAAAATGTGGATAAAAAATGGACTCAATTTATTTGTCTTGTAATTTCATTAGTGGATTTCAATGTGAAATATTTGTACTCACCCATATAGGAATGAAATATTGTAAATTTGAATAAATGAGGCAAAAGTAAATACACTTCACATATTTTATAAGAATGATATTTTGGATTTTGAATAAAATGCCTAATCACGATAGAAAATAAGCGTACGCCACCTATCGAAGTTCTTGAAAGCTGTCAAACCGGCCTGTTTACTTTGTCTTCATTGGTTCACATTTGTTTTGTGTTTGTGATTATTGGTCATATCATCAAAACAAACCGCTGAGAAGTGTTCAAGTTGTTGCCATCAGGTGGGGCAACGTGAACGAATGAATGATTGAATTTATTTTATTTCTCAAATGATCTGAATGCATCCCATTTTCAGGACAGGTTAGTCAAAAAAATTTGTCATTCTATGACTTTGATCAGTTCATGAAATATTGTGATTGTGATTCTGGTATCCTGAAGACTAAATCCAATCATATCACCAAAAGGAATAACTTAAGTGAAATATAACTCTTCCACTGGTTGAAAATTATCTATCGATTGAAGTTTAATCCTTAATTTTTTTCTAGCTATCTATATGATCTCGACTATGGTAGAGTGACAGAAAGTGTTCTGGCACACGAAGACACTATAACGTGCCTTTGTTTCGGTGTCAAGTACAATTTATTGGTCTCGGGCAGCGGAGACTGTACCGTCAAGGTCTGGAAGGGGTTGAACACCAACGGGGTGATCAAGCCGATACAGTGTCTTCATAAACTCATTGATCATAACTCGCAAGTCAACTGTTTGAATTTTGACAAGTAAGTGTGGACAGTTTCAGGGATGAACTCATTGCTTACCACCTGTTGTACTAGTAATTATACTACAATGATTAGTAATGTAACTTTAATAATAATATTGTGTATCTGATTCTACCAGTACATGTAACCTATTTCAATTGAATATCAATTGATAGTAAATAAAATGTTGAGATAGGGACATCCAAACCGTTTTGACCAATTATGAATAGTTTCGACACAAAAAAATTTTAAAGTCACTGCTAGACCAAAAGTGTTATAGGTCAATGAAATCAGCTCTTCAGGGAGAATCTGAAAATGGAATAATATACAGAGTGTCCCATTTAGGAATCGAAGTATATGTTCATAGGAACTTTTTTTATTATTTCAATAAGTACAACACACTGTTTAATTTCTTGTATTACAAACCGGACCACCCTGTATGTCAATTTTTTATGGTCATCTGAGAATATTCCTTTTCAATTGACTATTCTGAGAAACAATTGATGCTTTCTGAAATACAATGTGACCATTCTGAGTTACAATTGACGCTTTCTGAAATAGAGTTGGAAAAGGTGTAGTAGAAAATGTTGATTTTTTATAGCGATAACAGATTCTTGGCTGTTGGAACCGAAGACGGCGACATCTACATATGGGAGGTGATCGATTTCACTCTCTTCAAGAAGTACAATCTCCAGACCTCCAGTATTAGTGCGATCGCCTACAGTCCCGACGGACTGAAACTAGCCGTGGGCAGTCGAGACAAGTCCTTTCAGATAATCGACGTGACGGCCGGCATGCCCGTCTTCAGTAAAACGTTCCACGCGAGTGTCGCCTCTTTGCGGTGGTGCGATTTCTTGCTGGCTATTGGTTGTGAAGATGGTACTCTGTCTGTGTGGGATATTTTCGAGGTCAAACTGCTGCTGCAGATGCCAGCACACTCAGGTATACTTTTCACTTGTTTTCATCCCAGATAACACTGATCTCCTTGAGATTAAATTATTATTGACTTAGAAGTGCTACAGCGGCAACAAATTTCATTGCACCATTGATGGGAGCGCTCAGCCACCAAAATATATGCGCTTGCAAATCCGTATCAAGGAGGATGAGTTTTTCGAGCACTTTTCAAGTATCTGACCGCAAACTACAACTGGTGACTTGCTCGCTTACGTCTCACATATATGGCAGCAATTTATTGGTGAAACCTTAGCCGTGGCACTTGAGATCTCCAAGGCATTCGATCGAGTCTGGCACCACAGACTCTTCGCCAAGCTTCCATCTTATGACTTGCCTCTTCATCTATGTTCTCTGCTAGCTAGTTTTCTCTCAAACAGGTCTCTCCATGTAGTGGACGACGGAGTTTCAAGCATCAATTCTAACACCAACACTATATCTACTCCATATCAACGATTTGTTGGAAGCAACTTCATGTCCAGTACACAGCTTCACGGGTTATAGTACCATCCATACCGCCTTCTTCCAGGGTTCCAATACCAGCCAGGCAAATCAGAAACGAACGAGGGAGAAATGTTGACAACATAAATATGGATTTGGCAACAATTCTCGAATGAGGATCCTATAAATTGGTAGATTTCAATGCAAACAAAACAAAAGTATGCCGTTTCTCTAGAAAAGCCAATCTCACTGTGCCCAACATAAGCTTGTCAGGAGTAACCATACCTTTGAAGACATCCATTTCGATGCTTCGTATCACTATCAGCAATAACCTTTCTTGGGAAAATCACGTGAGATCAATTGCTAAGAGTGCACCCCAAAAACTTGGTTTTCTGTTTCGGGCCAGGAGCTATTTCACTTCCAGTCAGCTGCTTATGATCTATAAGGCACAGATCCGACCTGTCCTGGAAAACTGTTCCCATATTTGGAGTGCAGCACCCAAACATACCCTGAAACTTTTGGATTCTGTCCAAAAAAGGGCAATTCATCTCGTGGGTGATGACTCGCTCACAAACTCACACTTCTCTGGAACACCGTAGAAAAGTTGGCGATCTGGCTCTATTTTATAGATATTTTCATTGATGATGCTCTCTACAAATATCAACAATTGTCCCTCCCTTGGCAGTCCCCACGAGATTGACCCGTCGAGTTGAGGCTTCGAACCCGTTCGTGGTCACTCTGGAGACCTGCAGAACATTTATTTCCAAAGACTCGTTCATCCAACGAACAGCGAGGCTCTGGAACACTTTGCCAAGGGAGGTGTTCCCCGAGGCATATAACCTCCAGAAATTTAAGAAGAATACCAATTCATACCTTATTTTCCTTGGTTCTCACGATGTTCTCTGAACATTACAGGATATCCCTTTTCGTGGGAACCAGAACATAAAAAAAAATAATTCAAAGTTCGTTCGTATTAGGGGGCCCTGCGCTCCAATGACTGTCCACCCTGCCTGACTTGAAAAAAAAGCTTCAGATCTGACCGACTGTGAAGAATACCAGCAACAGACATCAAGACGAATCAAGCGAAATACAAAGTACGACCATTTCAGCGGCTCCACTACACTCGACGACTTTGTCGAATATCAAACATCTGGACAACGTTTTGAAGTTCAAGTGTTTATTGTCATTTTTGATAACATACTGTCTGCTTCAACTAAACGCATGAAAGCATATCATTAAATTACTAGTCATTTTGGAGTATTTCGACAGCTGAAGTCTCTTACAGCAAGAAAGATTTTGGAAAAATCCCCAATAATGGTCAGAGCTTACAAAGCCTAGGCGATGAATTAGTTAATTTCGCTGAATTGAAAACATATGTGGCTACTGTCATCCACGGCAACAAAACAGGAGCCTCTGGAACTGCAATTTTATTAACTTTCAATAAATAATTCTTTATAATGGTGTTTTCCCAAAGTAGAAATTGCCTTGCGCGCATTTACTTGTCTCTCATGATCACTTAACTGTAGGGCCAAGAACGTATCAAATCATCTCACTTTGATAAATATAGAGCATGCTTTGCTGGATGTCGAAAGTATTATCTCTAAATTTACCCATATGATTCCAGATAAATTTATTTGTAATAATTTTTTTTTATTCAATACCCTGAACTTATTATCCTTCGTCGCTTTGCGACTTGTGATAATTCAAAAAAATTTCATGTTCTCGAATATTCGGCAATAATTCATTTCCTAGGGAGGTTATAGGTGAAAATTTCATCATTTTTGTTCATTTGAAGACGATAAGGTCGTTTATTGTTTCAAACCAAGATACCTCCAGGGAAACCCAATAAATACCTAAATTACAGAGATTTTCCTGTTTCTTCTCATTACTCATTTCTTTTTTACTTTGTAGGGTCAATCAAAACTATCGACATATCGTCTCGTAAAGAGTTCATCATAACTGGTAGTCAAGATCGAGTGATAAAAGTTTGGAAACCAAAGATATCTACCTAAGCATTTACTGAGTGTTCCTGAAGAATAGTATTATGCACCGTAGAGGCTTCTAGGATTGTTTTAACTATATTGTGATATTTTTTATTGATCGATATTTTTTATATTTTATAAAGTGACAGAGAACAAATAAATAATTAATTTTAAATTGTAACTTATTTTTCTTCCTCTTCATCCAAACTGGCACTTCAAAAATTCACTAGATCTAAGTCGCGGTCCATCCTCAATGTCACTATCAATTTTTCTGATTCAGCTTCAAATTGTGCGTTCCCTCTTTTTGGATCCACAGGGTGAGGTAGAGGAAGATCCAGATAAAAATTTGGAGAAACCAGCTTCAGTGTATCTTTGAAAATATTCAAATCAATGTTGTGTCTACTCTCCCCAGGTAAGTTTATGGTAACGATCATATCTTCACAACTGGCTGTTCCTGGATTTTTGAAACCCATCTAAAATACAAAGCTTGTTTTGTAGCATATTTTGCAAATGGAGTTTTGAAGAATAACCCACCTGCAAAAATACATCAGAAGCCGTAACTTGCTGTTTATAAGTGATATCCCACTGTGGAGATTTTTTCCAATCAGACTGAGTTCTGTGTTCCTGATCATCGAGACCATCATATTCCTCGCTTTCTGTTTCAAGGATTTCTTTTCTCTTGCTTTCATCATTCTCTATTTTACTGTATGGATTCGGCTTTTTCTGTTTTGGGGTTTTCTTACTTGTACCTGATTGTTGCCCAACTGTGAAAGATAAGGTACAGGGTTGCATCCTGTCTAATAGTTTTGTCATATATACTTATACCTTGACTTGTTGACTGGATTGGATTTTCTTCTCGTTCATCGTCAGAATCAGAATGTTCCGGTCTATGGATTTTGAGTAACTCTGCAAGTTTTTGAATATCACAAAACTCCGTCATGTTTCAAGTTCAGAATTGTTGGTGATTGATAAAACTTTTGACGTTACCATGGTTCTGTTTTGAAATGCTTTTATCACTATGGAACTGAACTCATCGAAGATAAACGCAACGAATTTCTAATAATAATAATAATAAAAAAACAGTTACGGTGGGAATCAATAGGTTTGCATACCAAAAATCACCCATTTAACAAAAATCAATCGCTCGTATGCTCTTGAGACATAACTAGAAAGCTATAGAAGTTCAAGAATGTGTATAAAAAAAACAATAATATTCTTTACATACATTTTATTCAATGTACTGGAACAAGCACGGTAAAAACGCACATCGATGTATAGAGTTGGGTCAGAATAAAGAAAAGTGATTGATTTGACATTTTCAGAAGTCATCATCTCCTGCCATATCAAAATCACTATAAGATTTACAAGAATCATCATCGAATTGATAATTTTCCATGTCTCCACAATAATCTTGTTCCTCCATATTCATGCCATCATAATCAATTTCATCATGACATGGGTCATCAGCGAACTGTCGTTCAGATTTTTTCTTGGACTTGGCAATCCTACAAGTTTTCTCTACGCTTTCCTTGATTTTCACCCTCCTTTTTCCGCCAAAACCAAAGGCCTTCATTTTCTTTCGGTAAAATCTTTTCAAGCGGTAAGCTATATCTCCAAAGAAACAACTGGGTCCATCTCTGGAAATATAATGATTTTGTTATACAGGGTGAGGCACAAGGAGGGCGTCGATTTATTTTCATGCCGCTAAATAATTCAGGGTGGCTAAAACTGTTTTTTTTATATTCCGAGCATTTTGAATTGATTCATCATATTTTTTTACCATTCGATGTAGGATTGAGAAGTGCATATTTTTCGATAGGATCGCTAAGACCATTCAACCGCGACATGTTCTTTGCATCTAACGGTACGTTTTATTATGACTATTTCTCACCTTTTTCGATTTATCGAATTTTGAGAATGTCAAGAAGTTATTCATATATTCACTGATACACTCCTATACAGGGTGATTCATAACTATTGGGCTAAAGGGCGGATTATTTGGATGAGAATATGGCGATAGGAGCAAATATGCCTTATGAAATATTGCTGCATAAAAGATACAGGGCGTTGAAGTCAAATATATTTTGTTCGTTTTTAGGTAATAATTTCACTGTATATTCATCAATTGTTATCAAAATCGGCACAGAGGCATAATTTTATACAGGGAATATTATTTTATGTATTATTCTATGATTTGTTACAGGAGGCGCCACGTGAATGATTCCTGATGATGAAATCGGCTGATAAATTTTTTTGACGATAGTTTTTAGTGATTCTGATTGAAATATATGACATAATCATGATTTCTTCGTTATATTGGTACTCCTGTTTGAAAACGATATTTTCATCTGTTTTCGAGGATGAGGCAATATATTGAACAGATCATCAATGTCTCGGAAGGGTATTCCAAATATTATTTCATTTATGAAGATTGTAATGCTTTGGACTGTCAGATAATTATTGATGGTGAATTACATTTCTTGTTTTTTTTTTTAGTTGCTCTTTCATAATTTTCCCTGCTATAAACATGTATGTTTCTTGGGAATAATAATAAAGATTAGTTTATGGTCAATATTTTTTTGAAACGCCCTGTATCGTTTTCTACAGCAATATTTTATTGAGCGCTCTGCTAAAAATATTGAATAAATTATTTTGCACGAAATACAAATCTTCCCTAATTCTTTGGTATATATTCACGTGCACACAGCCCAGCAACCCTCACTCATATTTTATTGAGGCATATTTGGTACAAGTCATGAAGTAAGGATCGAGTTATGAACATCTAGCAACATCATCATATTCTCAAACAGATTGCATTTAACTGTACCTTATTCCTAAATAAACTGTCACATTTTGATTTCTGTATTCTACATGTGGAATTTTGTGTTCGAGCTTCCATAAATGTTATCAGTTATGAGGTTAGCCCAATCAGCCAAAATAAGTACGTCTTATTAGAGACGTGAGTGGTGAAGACGTGTATTAGTAAATAGTAAATGTCGAAACGTCGTGAGCCTACGTCAAAAAAAAAATCAATTAACGTTCTAGAGATGTATATTTTGAATAGTTTTTGATTCATTTATACATTATTAATATTGAATAATTGACGTCGAGGCTCAAACTAATGTCGATATTTGAATCGTTAATTTTTCATTATGCTGAGCCATTTGAAGCATTGGCGCATATGAGACAAAATAGTTCTGGAATGTATACAGGGTGTCCCAGAACAACTTACATTAAATTCAACAGGGTGAACTAGAGTTCAAAATAGGTCGATTGTGACCATCAACTTACCTCTGTACGAAAATGCACCGTTGGGCCGTGAGAGGGCGATGAATGGAATTTTTTTTTCAGATTTTATTGAATATTTCAAAATCCTTGAGAGGAAATGCTCTGAAATTTGGAAGGCAGTCAACTATAAGAAGTGTGCATATAGATAACAGGTCTCATCAATGAAATCGATATACAGTCAGATACAAATTTAGCATTCTGATTGGAGAAAAGCCATAGAACTTTTTTTGAGTACGCCACTGACAATATTTCAATATCTACTTGAATAACAAAATTAATTATCTATCTTTTTTCACGCTAAATTTTTTTCTAAATTTTGCTTGGTTTAGAGATATCTGAAAAAATTCTTTGGGAGTCCCTCCATATATAATCCATAGTCCAAAATATCAGAGTTATCGTGTTCTGTAGGTTTCTTCCTCCTTCATGTTGATGTTTGGCCCATTTTCAACTTGACAGGAAGATTTTGGGTGATAAATAGCGTAATACGAAAAAATGCTCAGATCGGTCGATTTCAGTTTGCACCTCCTGATAACAAGTCGTTTGCAGGTTTTTTCGTTCTGTTGAGAATTCGTCATGGTAATCCATGACCGATTATGGAATACAATATATAGGGTGTGTCCCATTTGAAAATTGAAAGTTTGGGTCATTTCTAGTAAAACCGGAAGTGATCGAACAAAATTTGTTTCGTCAATTAATGAGCAATTTAGTACACTAGCTGCCCACCAATTTTGAAAACCCTATCTCAAATAATTCAAAAGTTACAGTCCTGGCCGTTTTTTGTGCACTTCTCTGTATGTACCTATACGTCCAAAGACGTTTGGTCTCGCGTTTGGTGCTGGATTGGGAGTTACCGTTCTTATATAAATCCACAGCGAGTGATTTTCTATCTTCCAGATGCTTTGGGGTGCGTATTAAATGACTTAATGAAGAATAATTATTTCAAAGATGAAAATTGTCATTTTCGTAATCCCATACTGTTACTTTGATTTAACGGTGTTCAGATGACAATTGCAAAGTTAATGTTAACAGCCTTCATCCGTTAAGATTGTTTAACGACCGGCGGCCGTTATAACTGTTCCATAACAACACGATGTTGCGGGATATTTCTGTAGAATTATGAGGTACCTAGTTTGTTTTTTTCCTTGGAATCAAAATGTGATCTTTCAGCGGGATTACGAAAAGTCTTGAACGACACACGATCGATACGCAATAACGGATGCGGTTGTTATGATATATCCTCGGCTGCACCTCGTCAATGACCATAGACGTACGTCCATGTTGATAACAATTGTTCTTGACTTACTGTAAAGCTCTCAAATCGATGGCTCTGATGGCATGAAGAACAGCCAGCAGGAAGAAAATGCTCAGGAAGTAACTACAAACAAGAGCTGTTGTTTCGCTGCGGAAAACTTCACAGACAGTTTGGCAGTCCCAATCTCTCTGTTTGAAACTTTCTTCGATCAGTTCAGCTATCCTTGGAAGTATCTCCTTGTTGATGACCGATTCGATGGGGAACCAGAAGTCCATGATGATGTTCTCCATTAGAAATGCGGCAATGAGAAACTAAAAAGTGTCGTATTTGTTACAGGCCATATTTGTACGATTTTAATCATTTATTCAACGTTGAATAGGCGGAGAACACGTTACGTCCCCAGTACGTAGCTACCTATAGTACATACGTCTACGGTCCTAATCTGGACGTCCCCACTACGTACGAAACGTCTTGACCAGACGTTGTCAGTACGTTTTGGGGACGTATTCGTGCCATATGGGATGGTGTTATCCAAATGAAGTTTAATCCCTCAAGAAGGTTTATTGAGGAATACTTTGAAAATGGCACCATTGAAAAACATATATGAAGAAAATATATAGAGATCATCGAGAGCTAGTCGCTTACCACCGTGTCCAGACAACAAGGTAGTGATTTCTTTCTTGGAGTGTTATGGCCAACTGTGACCAATTTTATTGACCCATATGTCTCAGAAAGTACTATTGGGGATTTTCTTTCAGAAAAACTAATGATCGGAAACATGCCTGTACCGATTTTCATCATTATAATGAGTTTCTTCGGACCACCTGCTTTATTATGATGGTCAAAATCGGTACAGGTATGTTTCAAGTGATCCTGATTCAACGTCATCAATGTTTTTGTGAGAAAAAATCCCTAATAGTACCTTCTTTCTGACATATGGGTAAATAAAATTGGTGGCAGTTGGCAACGATAACAGTCCAAGAATGAGATCATACTCTCTTGTTGGAAGGACATTTCAGATACCTATTCATTGAAATGAAGTTTTTCGTAATGGATCAGGGTTGGCAAGTGCTTGACGTGGACACACTGTATATACAAGGTGGACGGAACATTATAGACATATCTGGAGATCCGAAGTAGAGATCATTTTTAGATTCTCCCTGAGAGATAGAGATATACAGGGTCACTCATGGTCGATGGTAGATTAGACGTTTACGTTCGGTGAGAGAGCAAAAAACTTTGATTTTGGCTGGAAGGTGGATGGTTATTCTTATATCTCAGATCAGGTCATTGAATAAGTTGTGAATTTGAATTATTAGTGATAGTCAGAAGGAAATATAAAAAAAACTCGAAATTCTGTGATGAAGTGCATTCCTATTTTGCGAGTGTATATCACCTCTCAAAAATGATGTACAGAAATTTGGACCACCCTCTTAAGTGGATTGTGTTGTGGCTGAAAATATACTACCTATAGAGATTTGAAAACTCAAATTAATTCAAAAACAACGTACTCACTCCATTAGTTTAGGTGGGTAGTTGAATTACCAGAAGGTTTTTAATTATTTACCTCTATCACCGTTTGAAAAGGTCCGTCCAATTTCCTTAGTTGTTTTGGGTACAGCCTAAGGTCGTACAATAGGAGGAACAGAGCTGTCAAAAAGATGTACGTGGAAACTAGAGGTCCATTGCCAGCGTCAGCGGATTTTCTGAATACTTGGTATCCGGCCAGAATCAGCAAAAGAGCTGGTAGCACTGCGAAAAATTTTCCCATCTTCTTTCAGCGATGGCAATCTCAAATGATAAACGTGTTTTGGCACTGTGATTTTGACATTTTCTCACTGACTGACAAGTCTGTGCAGGTCTCTCTCTGTGCAGCATAGTTTCGAATGGTTTCAAATAAATAACTATAGGGTGTTTGGTTCACCGACGTAGGTGGTAGGTAGAGTGCCTCAAACATTTCATTACACGCCCTTTGAACAATGGACACGCTTGTCAACACTGACATTTCAGAATTGTCATCATCCTCAGATTTGACTCTTCACTGCCGAAAATTGAATAGGGGTCCCCGCGAAAATGTTTTCGAATATGGTTACCATTCATATTGAGTTGCCCAAAGACGAGAAGATATTTCAAGTGTTCGTTAAAGCTTCGAATTCCAATATTCATTTCATAAAAATACATTCAATGGTGTAATATTGATATAACTACAAAATGAGCTTTATGTGCCTTTGGTGTTTACGCCACTAAAGTTGAATTTTAGCTCCTTAGGAACTTGAAAGGATATGTACTAGGTCATCAAGAATAATAGTACATTGTTTTATTAGGACACTTTGTTATCCGAAGCCGAGCACGCAACAAAGTCACTTTTGATCCGAATTGACATGCTATTTTTTCTGCAATCGATATAATTGATATCTAATTAATAAAATATAAGTGAAAAGATCACTATTAATTGCTGAGTGCTGATGTCATGCGGAAATTAATGAATAACAGAAAAACTATTTCAATCTTGTGTAACCATATCAGAAAAGTGAGGTTATGTGTCAATGTTTCACCTGCGGGGTCGATTATCTGACAGATCTTGCACGCATGCAACCCATATAAGTATTTCAAAATATTCACAAGGGTCTATATAGATAGTCAAGGGACGTCACCCACAACACATGATATTTCTTCCTTCTAATCCTTCTTTATATTGAGTAACTACAACTACTACGAGTAGAGCGATAGCTTAGTGGTCTATGCATATCTGACTTCCACGGTGGTGACTGGGGTTCAATTCCTGTGGTGCGTCAATTTTTTTTTAATTTTTTTTACTCAAACGCTTGTGAAATATTCGTGTAATACCTTGTTGTTATAACTTGTTGCAGAATTACAAAGAGTGTCAGTTTGACAGTTGAGATATTCTTCTGTTAAACTGAAACGATATGCAATTATGCAGGAAGTTTGAGATGTATAGCCTAGCCTAGTTTGAAGTAACGAATTGCATTCGATGCGATTATTTTTCTGTTCTGAATGAACCTCAATATTTTACGACGCGCTTCGTTTTTGTATGTAACAATAGAAATCGGTTACTATGGAAATAATTCTAAATTTCTGATTGTTGGAGTTACTCTATGTATATCTATGTATATTCGAAATCAAACAAAGTAGCTTAACATACCTCCTCGTTCTAGATCGCGTACTAGATTTATTTCATTTAGATCGACAATGGCTTGACAGACTCAACTCAATTGAACGTTCTGACTGGTTCAAAATCATACGAAGAAAATACTCAATATTATCCTCCACCAAATTTTCAATTGATTTTCTTCCAGCTGGAGCATCACAAATTCAAATAATTTGAATACTCAGTATTAGTCGGGGCTAAATTCCAAAAAAAGCCCTCCGTTACAATCCTAGAAGCATTTCATGTAACAATTGGATAAATGCTGTTAACCCCCTATTTTGACCCCGCTGAATCCGAAAATACTGTTTATCAAGTCGAAATTCCAACCGGAAGTGAGATATTCAAGATGGCGTCCAGAATACCCCTAAAATCAAATTATTTTCTACTTTCGGTCAGCTATACGATTGAGGTGTCGATGTCTATGTTTTCGGGGGTGTAGAATACGATGAGACACTCAAAAAATGATTTGGAGCTTTGAAAGTTCATCGAATGATCAAATTTTGACGAAATGGGCCAAAATTCCAAAGAACTTGTGAAAACGTGTTGTATAATGTACATGCTTGCATACGTTCTCGAGGGTGCTCGATACGTTTATGAGCCAAAAAAGCATTTGAACATTGTCCAAGCCTTCATTTCTTATATTTTGAAAAAAAAAGTTCACTATTAGTCGTCTTCCTCATCTTTTCTGCTCCATTCGGCTCCCTGCAGCCACACTGCTTCGTGCCGCAGTGGCCGCAGAGCCCCATGCAGCCACAAGCTCCAAATTCGGGACATGACTTGGGAATTGGTAGCAAAGTCATCAAGATTGGGACTTACCGTCCATCACCAATTTTCCAGCCGCAATTAATCGGGTCTGGTGAATCAAGATACTGATCATGGGCGTTAAACCACACACTAGTACCTCGATTTTTTCTATTTTCTCTTTCTTCTTGTTAATTTTATCTGGAAGTGGCACCGAAGAATGTGTTGATGGATGGCATCAGTGGTAGATGGCAAAAATCATTCGCACTGTCCCAAAAATTGCAACACGGGCTGCGTCTGCCGTTGTAATGTCCGGTCCAACTTGAAATAAAAATGATATTAGTATAAAAACGGCTAACAGTTCTAATTCACCATGTGTCTTAGAAAAGGGACGCAACAAACCTTGTATAAAGCTGGCACCACAAACTGTTCAACCAAACGGAGATCCTCGGGGGCTATATCAGGAGTCTTTCCAAGCTGACTGAGGAGTTTACAGTAGTTTTCTTCAATGTACTGCTTCCACCGTCCTGTTTTTGTGGCAGACCCTCATCAAGATTTAGTATCACATTCGGTGATTGCGTGGAAATCCATCAGGTTTTTGATCTGTTGTGATGTGAGCTCTCTACATAGTTCATGAATTGGAATATACTTGCTATCTCGGGAAGTACCACACATCACCCAGCATTCCTTGCATTTCATTCTTTCAAAGTGATAGATGAATAATGAAATCACACTAGTATCTTTAACAGAAACAACAACAGCCTCTCTTTCGGTTTTTACGCATGGAGTATATTCCAATTCACGAACTATGTAAGAAACTTGCACCACAACAGATAAAAAACCTGATGGCTTTCCACGCAATCACTGGATGTGATACTACATTTGAGTTAGCGTCAGTCACAAAAACAGAACGGTGGAAGCAAGTACATAGAAGAAAACTACTGTAAACTCCTCAGTCAGCTTGTAAAAACTCTCGATCTAGCCCCCGATGATCTCCGTTTGGTTGAACAGTTTGTGGTGCAAGCTTTATACAAGGTTTGTTGCGTTCCTTTTTCTGAGACACATGGTGAATAAGAACTATTAGCCGTTTCGATACTACTACCATTTTTATTTTGAGTTGGACCGGACATTACAACAGCAGACGCAGCCCATGTTGCAATTTTTTGGACAGTGCAAATGCTTTTCGCCATCTACCACGGACGCCCTCCGTCAACACATTCTCCGGTGCTACTTCCAGGTAGAAGAAAATTGAACAAATCGAAGGATGTTAATGTTATGTTCAGATACTAGTGTGGATTAAGGCCCATGATCAGTATCCTGATTTATAAGACCCGAATAATTACGGCTGGAAAATTGTTGATGGACGATATGTCCCAATCCAGATGACTTTGCCACCTATTCCCAATTCATTTTCCGAATTTGGAACTCGTGGCTGCAAGGGGCTCTCTCAAAATATAAGAAATGAAGGCTTGGACAATGTTCAAATGCTTTTTTGGCTCATAAACTTATTGAGCACCCTCGAAAGCGTATGCAAGCATATACATTATTCAACACGTTTTCACAAGTTCTTAGGAATTTTGGTCTATTTCGTCAAAATTTGATCATTCGATGAACTTTCAATGCTCCAAATAATTTTTTGAGTGTCTCATCGTATTTTACACCCCCGAAAACATATACATCGACACCTCAATCGTATAGCTGACCGAAAGTAGAAAATAATTAGATTTTAGGGGTATTTCGGACGCCATCTCGAATATCTCACTTCCGGTTGGAATTTCGACTTGATCAACGGTATTTTCGGATTCAGCGGGGTCGTAAAAGGGGGTTAACATCATTTATCCAATTGTTACATGAAATGCTTCTAGAATTTGATTTTTCGCAAAGCAAGCCCCGACTATATGGGGCATCGCCCTAGCATCTCAGGTAAGGCACTAGCCGTTTTCGAATTTTTATTTTCCTCCATAAAACACAACTCCCAGCGTCTGAACGACTCCCTCACCCATTGGGTAACTTCAGTGAAATTACCTCCTATATAAAGGGCTTCGCCCTAGGAGATAGCCCAGCGAGCACAAAAACATCTCAGAGATGTTAAAAGTACGAGATTTCGAGACATTGAACCTCCACTGCGATGTTCTGTTCACATATGAATAGAACTATTATAGAACAGCCAATGTCCGCCGCAGGCGGCAATTATCGAGATGTCTTTGATATGTCACAAAACTACCTTCTCCCTAGTTCTTTTTGAAGCCTGTCCATGGACACAACAGAACATTTTCAACGCGTCTTGCGCACATTGAATCGCTGTGAAAAAACCATTTTTGAGGTACTTTTCTGAAGCCTTTTGTCAAAATGAACTTTTGCATTAGGATTCCATTTTCCTTGAATGAAAAAATGCATTAAAAATAGATTGAACATAAAAATATTTTCTTGATATGAAATTACCTTCTTAATCGGTTTCTGAGTAGTGCTTACTACACACAGACATATAATTGGAAATAGGTTTCCCAATTTTTGAAATGTTCTCCACAATGCATAATTTTGCAACTGCGGAGAAGCTGTGTATTGATAAATTCGTACTTTTATATATTGATTACACTGAGGCACCGAGCAACCAGCTTGCATCTGTCATTATTACAAACTAAATAAGTCTTCTAACACAATAAACTTCACCAAATTCCTTTCTGTTCGTTAGCAGCGTGATATAAGCGTGACACGCTGCAAACGCGAATGCCAATTGTGAACAAGAAGAACAAAATCGAAAACAGATCAGAATTCATCGTATTGTGACGTAAGCATGAGACGTTGTGGTGGAGCAAACAAAGAAATGCCACAGAAGAACAAAAACAATACTTCAATATCCTTCAAAGACCTCTTTGGTCAGTGCATATTACGTCTCAAAATAACATTTTCAAAACATCCCAAAACATCCCAGGGATGTTTGTGCCCGCTGGGAGGCTTCTGTGACGAACACTTCGCATATATGCACCCACATTCCTTGGCCAACACCAGCCACCTCTGCCATGTTCTGAGGGTTTTATCTATACAGTTCTTAAATTGTACATAATATTATTTCTATTTATAGTACCTATGTGTTGTGAACAGAAAAGTGGAAGAGAATGAACAACTTCAATACTAGCCGTTCAATATCTAAAGTGAAGCAGTGTCGAGCGCGCCGTTATAGTACTTGGATGGGTGACCATTCGAGGAAACGCCGCGTAAACCCGTACATCTGTAGCGGAATAGCATATCATAGCTACAGCTATACCATATCAATGAGCATAAGATATGGAGGGGACGCTAAGCCGGTGGTCCCGAGGCCATGGATGTTGGACTTGTTAAAGATCCCTACCTCTGGTTGGAACACCAGAGGATTCGGCAAAATTTCTGGTTGGGGGTAGTGTGCTCGGCGTCGGTGGTTAGCCTCAGTAGCAGAAAAAAAGCCGTCGTTAAAGAAACAAGGAAGGAAGGATACTCAGTGTATTATGTCTTTATTGTTTTATATCACAAGATAATTTCATCACGTACTATGTACCTACTCATACAGAATAATGAATGTTGATAATTTTTCAAATGATGTTGCACCCCAACTTTTCCAAAAACGGCACGTTTTCCTCTGTCTCTCTTCCGACAATAACGCATGAACTCCTACTTCTTGACCTTGTTCGCGCGATGGATTTATCCTTGCATTTCTTGTCCCTAGATGACTTACTCGACTGTCTTCTACCTAGAAATCAAACCAAAAATTTCATGTCCAGCACTGGACCCTTATATAAACTGTCCCACATTTGAAGTGGCAACTAAAAATTTCGAACCGTTATAACTTTGGATTGGATCAACCAATTTTCAATTTCTTTCAATATTCTAATAGATCATTTCATTTAGTACAATGTCGGTACTTCTTTGTTATATTACCTTCTCGACATGAAGAGCTACAGGGTGATATCTGAAAATGTGATAATTTTCGAAAAGTTTGGAATTGCTCCATTTGACAGGTATTTTTAATTTGTTTTATTGAGGGCGATAAAAGATGAAGCATAACTATATGTACATATGAATTATCACATATTCAGATATCAACATATAAGTCATCATGTTGGGAGAACGGGATAACCAAAAAATAGTGGAGTTGTACTCAATGAAATGAGTTATTAGAATCTTGGAAAAAATCTAAAATTGGTTGATGCAATCCAAAGTTAGGATGGTTCGAAAATGATAGAAATCTTTGCTTGTCTCACTTCAAATGTGGGCAGTTTAGATAATACAAGAAAAAATTATTGGTATGTAAGAACTAGAAGCCAGTCGACCAGTACAATATACATATTCAGGTATTCAACTTTTTAATTTCGGATGTGGTCAAAATCCTTAATATATCCACTATATACACTCCATCTCCTTTCAAGGCTCGTCTGTAGTATTTGATGACACTCAGTCCTCCTGGCTCATTTTATTTTACTTGGAATATGTTGTTATACGATCCAAGGGGGCCAAATACCTTCAATGTAACTATGAGCACTACCGCTCACAGTACCATCTGAAATCCGTTTGAAAAACCATTTCATTCAGGTTTCTGAAGCCTACTCTTACGAGTCTAGATCTTGGCCACGAAGAATGCCTAAAGTTTTCCTTCTCCTATGCAGAAACCTACGTATACACGAGGATATTATTGTAAAATGTATAACTTCACAAACGATAAGATTTCCACAAAATGGTACAATTCATTGTACCAGTATATCACCTGACGAAGCTACTGTGTTAGCGAAACATGTCGTGTGTTTGAGAATTTTGTGGAAATCTTATCGTTTGTGAAGTTAACGGCCGAGTCAATTCATAAAAGATATTATTGTCATAATAATTCTTCTTTTTTATCTCTTGGAACACACTAAAGGTGATTCCTATAATGTTTGAAGAATGTATCGTGCGTATCTAGGGAGGAAAGGGAGAGGTCGAGGTAGGTATTGGTATTTTTTTCAACTCCTGGAGGTTATAAGTTGTTGGGAATACTTCCATTGGCAAATCATTCCAAAGCTTTGCAGTCCTATAGACAAACGAGTTTTGGTAAAGCGGTGTTCGACATATTTGGAAGGTTGACAACGGAGGGATATGCTGACTAGGCTTGTCGAGTTGATCTGACTGGTAGTGCTAGTGATGGAATGATAGCACAGATTTCTGAGGAACCTACCTTAATGATCTTAGTTGTTTCGAGACAAATATCAAATAATTTGACACTTGATCAAAGTGCTGGATCAAAATCAAAAATGCAAACACAGATCGCAGCAAGTGCGTGCCTCTTCACTCCCATCATGAGTTCACTGACAGTGTCGACTATTTTTCGCTTACTGTTCATTGGCCTCACCTAAGCGAATCTTTTGGAATCCCTTGATTCAGCTCAATGGATATTATTTACCTTTTCTACTACTTCTCCTAGGCTTCCTCTGGGTGAGGCTCTCACAGATATCGGCACTGAGATCGACATTGATGTCTGAATTCATTTCTACGCGCCTGGCACCGATTCCGAACATTCTCAGTTGCTTCTTGATGACTTTTTTCAATCTGAACACGATGTCTCCGAAGAAACATGAAGGCCCCTCTCTGGAAAATGCATACCAATATAGTGGTCTTAAACAGCAGAATATAAAGGAATAAAAAAGGCATATATCTATGTAATGATAAAGATGGAAAGCCCTAAGTTCGAGTGACAAGGGAAAATAAAAAAACTCCACCGCCCCGTGTTAGAGTCGAACTGTGTGATGAGAACTGATGGACCTTCCTGCCGATTGATCGACGGATGACCCGTTAGCTCAATTGGCAGAGCGTTGGGCATGTAACCCAGAGGTTGTGAGTTCGACTCTCACACGGGGCGGTGGAGTTTTTTCATTTTCCATTGTCTCTCGAAATTAGGGCTTCCCATTTTAACCATTATATGTATCTTTCCGGTTGAGTAACCGACAAAAATTATGACTTCACTCCTATGTATGATTGCCTTCGGACATTTCCGTATACAAGGAAAGACAATGTCAGAGGACGAACGGGGAAATATGGAGACTGTATAGTACCATCCTGCCAGCGATGCTTCGTATAGTGCATGATTTCGAGTGACTTCGGAAATTGGAAGGATTCTGCCGCCTGGTGTGTGATGAGAACTCGACCTTCCTGTTGATTGATCCACGGACGACCCGTTAGCTCAATTGACAGAGCGTTGGGCATGTAACCCAGAGGTTGTGAGTTCGATTCTCACGACACGGGGCGGTGGAGTTTTTTCATTTTCCCTTGTCACTCAAAATTAGAGCTTTCCATCTTTATCATTATATGTATCTTTTCCGAGATCTTTCCGGTTGAGTAACCGACAAAAATCTCTCAGGGAATGAAATTTGATACTGGCATTCTTTCTCGAACGCCATAGCATCAATGCTTCCAAAGCAGAATTATTATAACTACCCATCAGTCAACAAAGTAAGCCCTATGAAACTACCGCTACGAGTACGAGAGTACTGTCTTTCATCATTTTCTTAGCTTGATGAACATTTATGATACGTCGCTGGCGAGGTTTCATTGGATCTGTTCGTCTCGAAGTGCTATCTTAGTTTTCAAATATCTGATGCACTCCTAATAGACGTTTGCTCCCTCTCTGTCTTCCATTGTACTAATTAGCGGCTGGACTCTATCACCACTCAGTTCTCTTGAATGTAAGCTAATATGAAAGCACTGAACCTAACCTCATAAAATCAGGATCATAAGTGCTATTTCCTCAAAGAAAAATCTTCCAGAAAGTGAAGTGCGTCTCCGAAGAAAAAGTGCATATCAAGTTCTATTGAATGAAACTGGTGAAGTATTCCGGCACTCAGTATATATCTATCCTTCTTAATTGCATGTGTTGAATACCTACAGATAGGTATAAATACTCACTCACAGCGGAAGAAATTGATTCAACGATCTCGATGATGCCACCTCGATAGGCCACAAAATTCAGGAAAGGCTACCTGCGAGTGATCTCGACAGGGCGCAGGACAAAGTACCTCAAATTCAGGACGTACTGCGAAATGCAGGATGGGGGCAACCCATATGCAGATCCACCAATCCAAGTGAACCTTTATGAACATCGCCATTGACATCGCATCGTGATTGTCAACATGAAATAACGGTGGATTCATCGTAATAGAATAAGTTCACCATGGAATTGAAATGATATAAATTAACTAACATTCTACTAAGTTGTTCTACACTGGGATAATGGTGACACTAGTTGATGAATTCAACGTTTCAACATGTTCCTGTGCTTAGTAGCAGTCCCATCAGAAGCGACCAAAAGTAATCATAAACACTTTCAGCTTCAATTACCTCAGGGCTCTCAGATCGATCACTCTGGTGGCATGTAGTACTGCAACGAGGAACGACACACTGACAGCATAGCTGACCACATAAGTGAGAGCCTGGCTCCTGAGGGTGTCGCAAAGAGTGTCGCACCTCCATTCACCGCTCGAAAGCATGTCGTCTATCACGTCGGCCATCTTGGCGGGGATGTTCATCACCATCTTCTCCAAGGGAAACCAGAAGTCTATCATGATGCATTCCGTCATGAATGTGGCAATGAGGAACTGAAAACAAAAAAATCGATGAGATCCTCGACATACTCTCTTGAATTCAGATGTTATTAGAGAACAGATCTATAAAGTCTAAGATTAACATTCTTGTAAGAGCATCGCAGGAAATGGCCTGGTGAACAGAGAGTAGAACCCAATTCGGGGAATAGACTCATCCATACATTCAAAAATTGTGAGATTATGAGGAATGATAAAAGGGGCCATATTAGTAGTAAAAGGATCTGTGAAACTGCAAATCTCATTCAGCTAGGAGAAAGTATTCCAACCATCGAATAAAAGATAGATATCCAGACTTCAGACTCCAGAGTTAGTACACAGTAGGCTGACGCCATGCTATCAGCGAACCAAGTATTACAACTCCCTTTTTTCATGTTCTGGTTCCCACGAAAAGGGATTTCCTGTGATCGTGAGAACCAAGGGAAATAAGGTAGGAATTGGTGTTCTTCTTAAATTTCTGGAAGTTATATGCCTCAAGGAACACCTCCCATGGCAATGTGTTCCAGAGCCTCGCTGTTCGTTGGATGAACGATTCTTTGGAAAGAGATGTTTTGCAGGTCTCCAAAGTGACCACGAAGGGGTGCGAAGCCTCAACTCGACGGGATAATCTCGCGGGTACTGCCAAGGGATGAACAATTGATATTTCAAAAGAGTATAGTCCATGAAAATATGTATAAAATAGAGCCAGATCGCCCACTTTTCTACGTTGTTCCAGAGAAGTGAGTGAGTTTGTGAGCGAGGTATCACCCACGAGACGAATTGCCCTTTTTTAGACAGTTTCAGAGTATGTTTGGGTGCTGCACTCCAAATATGGGAACAGTATTCCAGGACAGGTCGAATCTGTGCCTTATAGATCATAAGCAGCTGACTGGAAGTGAAATAGCTCTTGGTCCGAAACAGAAAACCAAGTTTTTGAGATGCACTTTTAGCAATTGATTTTCCCAAGAAAGGTTATTGCTGATAGTAATACCAAGCATTGAAATGGATGTCTCCAAATGTATGGTTACTCCTGACAAGCTTATGTTGGGCACAGTAAGATAGGCTTTTCTAGAGAAACAGCAAGCTTGTGTTTTGTTTGCATTGAAATCTACCAATTTATTGGATCCCCATTCGAGAATTGTTGTCCATATTTATGTTGTCAACATTTCTCCCTCGTTCGTTTCTGATTTGGTATTGGAGCCCTGATGGAAGAGAAGGCGGTATAGATGGTACTATCACCCACGAGACGAATTGCCCTTTTTTAGACAGTTTCAGAGTATGTTTGGGTGCTGCACTCCAAATATGGGAACAGTATTCCAGGATAGGTCGAATCTGTGCCTTATAGATCATAAGCAGCTGACTGGAAGTGAAATAGCTCCTGGCCCGAAACAGAAAACCAAGTTTTTAGGATGCACTTTTAGCAATTGATCTCACGTGATTATTGGTGGACGATGGTAATACCGAGCATCAAAATGGATGTCTTCAAGGGTATGGTTACTCCTGACAAGCTTAACGTTGGGCACAGTGAGATCGGCTTTTCTAGAGGATAGGCGGTATGGAATAATGTGGTATCCAATAAAAGCTCAAAGTAACTGTGAAGTAGCTATTATTTGAGACAATATGAGACATTAATCATATTCAAGTCATGATAGACTTCAATCAAATTGATATCAATCAACAGCTGAGATCTGGGTGGAATAGCATATCGACTCGCTTATGTTAATTGAATTATCTAACTCATAGTATAATAAAACCAATGAAATGTGAATGTGGGATTGTCGGCTGTGAATAAAAAATATATAATGATTTTCAGTGTGTTTATCGTACAATGTGAATGAAGAATCTGGCTAGGAACAGTAAATTCAATAGTTTGTGGCATACAAGATACATAATTGAATTTTATCTATTTTGAAAAATTGACAGAGAGTGCGATGACTATCTTACCTCCATGAAAAATTGACTTATACGTCCCAATTGCCTCAATGTTTTCGGATACAGAGTCAGATCCCATAGCAGCAGGAAGAAGGCAAAAAGGAATATGTAGGTCGATAACAGAGGTCCAGGTCCAGCGTCTTGAGTTTCTCTGAAAATTTGGAAGTTCATCGATATAGCCGCAAAACTAGCCAGCACTGCCATAAATTTCCCCATGGTTCGGTATATCGACTAACTCACGGACGTCTAATTTGGAAGAAAATTCGTCATAGTTTATTTCACACTGTGAATGTCTGATTCTGCATTTATGCAGTATCAATTGTGAAGATGATATGATGTCAGAGTGACAGGAATTACAAGACTGAATATGACTGAATGGCAAATACAGAGTGTATCTCAACGAGATAATAATATATGACATAGATATTTATACAAAGTTTGACAATGGGCTAGTGAACTGATTGATTAATCAATCATCACGCTGATAGTTTCAATTTTATCATCTTCAAAAATATTTCTGATGTCTAGAAATTACAAATAATGAACTCACAACGTGAATGAAACACATGGTTGCCACAAAATTGCCAGATGTGGAAGTACAACTGGAAATGAAAGAAATTGTCTGGCTATAAGCATTCATAAATGGTTCATTGCTCTCCTAATATATAGGATATCACTTTTAGTCGATTTATTCTCAACTGATTGATATTTTCTTTATACTGATAGTATATATTATGTGAGATTATATGGCTATATCACTCAGCATCTTATTGTTTCTCTTAGTTAGACAGCGTAGAGCGCTGTTGCCAAGTTACCAAAGGATATTCACTGAATGTTTGTTCACCTAGCACTTGGTAACGTCTCGCGGTACAGTGGAAGTCAATAAAAAAGCGTAAAAGTATTGGAAATAGAGGTTTAGTTCATCCTAGTTCTAGTTGTGTAAAACTGGCTCATCCAATGCTTCGTGTTTTAAAGAACCTACGACGCCTTCACTGTCAACATTTGATCAACAATCATTCCCGATAGCCCATTTTACGCAAATTTCTCTCTCAAATATACTTGTACACTTTTTTTTATTACAACTGTACACATAAAATGCAATGATGCAATGCCATGCCATCCTCACATGGGATGGAGATGTGCATTTCGTTCAAAGATTATCGACTACTAAATACTACTAGGGACATATCGAATCACAATATTCGCGTATGGCAATTTTCTAATAGAGCTTAACTACAATTTGCCAATTGGCAACGTATTGTCCAAGTTTTGGCAAGATTGGTGTAGTCAACAATCGAAGACATCAAGATCGACATCAGATGGCTGACTAGCACGGTCTGTTCGAAAGGACATCCTCAAAATATCACTAGAATGTTCAAGAATATTCAAGAAGATGTTCTATTCTCTTCGTCCTACTACCGTTATTAAACTGCAAATTTTCACTAATAATGTCCTAAATCAGAAGATTATCGAAGAAAGCCTGGGTACAGTTGTGTGCATGGACAGTCGTACAGCAGTTATATGCTATTGGGATTCAGACTTGTCAATCTTGATTAATCTCTCTATAGACTTTGACAAGTAGTGTCAAAATTCGAAATATTAGTCAGTAACGCGCAAATGTGTACGTGTACTACTTTTAATTGAATCTGGACCATCATAGGCAGGTTCACACCATACAAATCATGTACGATTTGGTTTATGCACGCAACAGTACATTTCAAGGTACATTCTATACATTTCTCAAAATATTATCAAAAGCTTTATAGTTGACAAACTACCCAAGGACAAATATCTCCCATTTTTGTATCAAGTTCTTCCCAATGTATCATTGGTTAAGATGTAAACATCAACTTCCTCAGAAGGTCTGTGAAACGTCTTCAGGTCGCTGGTGGATTATGAGAGGATATATTTTAGACGACATTCGAATGTAGAAAATGGTAACCGGTGAACGTCCTACAGACGTCTTGCAGCTGCTTCTCGACATCATAAGTGCATCATTCAGAACTTGCTCAGTGAGTTCTTGAGACGTCTTGAGGACGTGTGTGGAGAATACCATTGGGATGTTCTGAGGAGTAATTCGCATGGAGATAATGGAAACAGGTGGACGTTCTGAGACGTCTTGAGAAAGTTACTGGGATGTCTTCAGGACGTGTCTGTGTGTTATCTGGGCTGGCATATAGTGTTAGATAATAACGAACAGTATCTGACTTTGTCATTGCCACTACTTTGCCTCTCCTTCATTTCTATAACAATCTGAGTGGATATAATTATTTATTATGGTTCAGGTAAGTATCGAGTGTGAGTTGTTGTTGAAAATGCAAAAATCAAGGTGGGCATCGATCGAAATACATTAAACACATTGGACATACACATAGGGTACGGTCATACAACATCATAATATAGGATTCTTATGAAATAAAAACCTCGCCTGTTTTCATGCGATTAATAAACTATGCTGCATTTGCAATACGTCGAACTATTTCATCATTTTCTCATTCGAATTCATTTCATCATACAGTTCACAAGTTCTTCTTGTTGAAGATCATAATGACTTCTTGAATCATAATCATGAAAGATATCAAGTGTAGACTGCAATCGATGAAATCTTATTAGCAATGGAAGAGGGGATAAAACTACAGACCTCCAGAGAAGGAAAATCAATCTGTACTTGTCCTTACATAATATAAATCTCCTGGATGCTTTTTTATGCACGCAGCAGAGAAAGGATAATGACTCTCATCGCTTCAAGGGTTCCCCAAGGAGCTTGAAGTTTGCGAGGTTGAAATGGATTTCACTTCCACGAAGAACTTTTTGATCCTTCTCATCATGTAATCGCTACGAAAGATCAGAATTTCATTGATAATATTTTACTTTATCATAATTTTTCAGGCATCGAGCGACGATATAGCCTGTTGAGGATGATGTAGTTCGTCATGGTATATTTCACGTGTAGATCGTAATGTTTCAGTGCTGAACCAGCGGAACTGAAATTGTTGAAAAATGATTGAATAACAAATCGTTGAAAATCGTCAAAAATGTCGTTTTTCTTCAAACGGCATAAAAAGTGACTGTTCTCTTACACTTAACAGGCATGAAAGGTGTACTTTCTTTGCCTAGGCAGAACAAGTTTGTTGCTATTCAACGTTCCAAGTGATTTGAATGAAATTGGTAATCAAGATTCACACTGACAATGTGTGAACACAAAATGATGGGAATTCTGCCAACCCGTTGACGAAAATCATCTCGTATAGTACCATTATTTATTGTTTTATATGTTGAGTCCCATATTGTTTGGTACCATTGTCTGATGATGGTCGAGACCGGTTACTTTTTACTGATGATTTTTATATAAAGTGTGGTAGACCGACGTTGTGTTGCTTGTTTTTCTCTAGAAATATCTCGATCAGTTTACCTGCACAATGCACATATACCTGCCTATTAGTCTATGTTCCATTTACCTATATAATTATTGCTCTGATTGTAAAATATATAATTGATATACCGGTAATTGTAATCGATGAATAAATATTTTTTATAGGTAGGTACAACAACCTATATAGTAGATAAAGCTATTGATAATAAGAAAAACGAAATGAATAAATATTCATCTTCCGTTTCGTGAAACTGTAAATTGTCAGTATATTATTTGTAGAAGCTGAATTAGACGAATATACTTGCTATTCGATCTACAGAATGATTTCTGTAAATGACCGTTTCATGAAATGGAGTCCTTATCATATATAAAAAGTTTCCTCAGTTTTTGAATCAGTACCTAGTTGATCAATTGGTAATGAACTGAAAACGTGAATTTTTTGACCATTCCTCGATAAATTCATTGGCACTCTGGTAAAAGAACACGTATATACCGGTGGAGGAACTGTATACATATACTGTACATCCATACATAGAGGTCCCTTAGAAGAATACCTTATGACCATCAGAAGTGGACTTCTCCACTTCTCCACTAATATATAGGGTGATTTAAAGGATTTGGCAAAACCATTTTTTGGTCATAACTTATTTCCATCCACAGTTTCTTCGATTCGTCTGAAATTTTCATGGAATATTCTGCTACTATATACTTTCTGATCGACTGATTCAATCAGAATCTGGAAAATCCAGGACCGTTCCTGAAAAAAAAACGGGGAAGTTTCACAAAAAAATGATTTAGAGACTTGAATTTTAAATGCTTCAAGCCAATGGAAATCAACATATTATTTTATTTGGATTCAGTTTTCCTTAGGGTAATAATCACCCTGTAGATCTTTTTCGATTAAGTGGATGGGGTAGATGTATGGATGTAAATGGTGATAGATTTAAGTAATTTTATGATTTTCATTTTCAGTTTCATCTATTCGATTTGGTTCATTCGGTTTTTTTGGTCGCCAAGGAAGGCCGATAGGATAGATTGAGAAAGGAAGAGAGTAGAGTAGGTATATCACCCAATAAGACAAGTTGAAGTTTGGTGAGTATCCAGCTAGGGTACCTCGGGTTCACCATCTGTATAAGGCATTGTAATTACTCCAACTTATCACAGCACAATAATACAGTGAGATTTTTATAATTCCTCTGGTGTGCCCACTCTTCAATTGTTTCGTTAGACTAGCTCACGATATAAACAATTGAATGCGAGTTTGGAACGTCGGGTTCCCATATTCGATGATAGATGGCGTGAACGATGGACAATTCCTTGAAAATTTCCAAAATGCGTTTCGAATCTCATTATGAAGTTGAAGTAGACTTTCAAGGATGTGTTTTCCTCGAGGTTTTCCTCCTATCTGGACCTGAAGAGGCCCGTTTATGATGCATGAATTCAATAATAGCTAGCATCTAGAAACACGAGGCAAAAGAGACAGGGTGCAACAAATAATTCGTGCAGCAACATCTTGATCTTGACATATGTTTTCGGCATATTGAAGATTTTGTTCAAATTTCAAATATATTATAAATTAAGAGCATGAGTAGTTTACTGAGCAAGTATTGATATTTTAGTTGAGTGAATGTATTGTGCTTTCATCATGAACTGACTGCTGCAATGTGTGAGGATTATTTGAAAATCCGAACATTCGTTTTATTTCATGTACCAAAAGTGAGTAAATAAACTATATTATCACAGGATTTTCTTTCAGTTAGGACTTTATGTCGTTCATGAATTCACCATTGTAGGTCGGAAATATGACGCACCGTTTCCATTTAAAGAAAAAAATTTGAAAATGAAAATGTGAACTCGAATGAATGTGTCATGATGCCATTGAATTTGGTTTGAAACTTCGGAAAGATTTTTCCACGCCTTGCTATTTCTACGAAGTAGGCGATATCGAGAGATTTCGAAACTCCTTTGAATAGGAAGTGATAACACCATTTGATTTTTTATGCATCTAT